AACTCGGGTAGTTTTAGTTTCAGGATGGTTCTCATTAGTTTAACTGTGTGAAAGTTTGACGTGTGTGGAACAAATTAAACACATTCTTTTTTTTTTCCTGAAGATCTTGTGGAAGCTGGAATAAATCCAACATCAAAAGCTGTCAAAGTTTCAGCTGTGGCTCCTGAAAAAACATCATCTGCACAAACCGAGTCAAAACAGCAATCTGCTGCAGCAGGAAGTCAAAAGCAGATGAATCCAACCACATCATCTGCTCCTAATTTACACCTGACTCCTGGAGAGAAGCTAAAAGAATACCAGGCTTTGGACAAACTCCGTAAGAAATCCATAAGATGGAAAACACCTGCACGTGATGCTTTCCCTGCTTTACTTATGTTCATTCTTTCACTTTTCTTTGCAGGCTGTACTTCTTTGAAGTACCCTACCATCTTCTCAGAACATGTAAGTCACACAACAGCTTTCAGTCACTTTTTTTCTATTTCAGAAGTAGCAGGGCGCTAAAAATAGCTCTTTGGTGACGGGACAAAATTTATGCTCAAAATGCTAATTTCCTCCCACCTCACAAACCCACTAAATAACAGTGCTGCGGTCTCTGGGTCCCACCCATCGACATATATACTGGACAATTTGTGTCCATAGGCTCCCATTATAAGTTTTTGTGCCAAAATGGGAGGTGGCCACCACCGCTATTTTGACCGTGTCACAGCTTCCGTCAAGCCCAGACAATTCCAAAAAAGGGAAAAGAGGTGGAGCTGAGGGTGGGGCTGTAAGGCTGGGATCAAATGATGACCCCCATCGAACTGAAGCGATGTAGCTACAAGCTAACCCAAAGCTAACGCGGAGGTGGGAGCTAAGCTAACGGAGGTAGCTACCTAGCTACAACCGGAGTTAACTGTGCACAACACCAGAGCTTCTGAGTCAGAGATACGCCGAGGTGACCGCTGGGTAAAACCGGGTGGAACACAGAGGTCTCCCGTGCAACATTATGTTAAATGCACTGGGTTTTACCCTATTACATTTAAATTTCATGGTTAAACAGTACATGTTAAAATCTAAGCTCAGCTCGGCAGTGACCTAAAATACATAAATATAATTTTACTTACCGAAAAAAATGAAGTGGCGACTCCTTGGACGCTCTATTAGTGCAATTAATACCACGGCAAGTCATTTTGTCCAACAATTGCACAAATAATATCCAAAAAGAACGCACAAACGCTACAACTAATAGTCTAAGTTGAGAGACTGAAACTGACTGAACAGTTTTCAGGCGAGGTCGAAGCTCAGGCGGAGCTAGCTCTGTGGTCACGTGGGTCTGATGCTCATTAATTATACAGAATTTTAGGCTTTTAATACACTTAAACAGAAGAGTGAGAAAAAAATTCACCCCCCTCAGAGTTGTCATGAGTGTAAACTAGATTGTTTAAACCAAAAACATGTTTTGGCACCAGGCTGTAAACATGTTTATTTCTGCTGTGAAATTGGTATTTTTAACATGGGAGTCAATGAGGATTTGCTCGCTTCTGACACCAGCCCCTAGTGGATGAGCGTGGAACTGCAATGTTTGTTACTTCCTGTTTGGCTTCATTTCCAGACCTGAATTATGGGGGCTTTGTCCCACCGTCATGCAGCAGCAGCTTGCTTTCTGCTCAACAGCCCTGCTGTGCTCAACACGGACACTTATTGAGAAAGTAATCGGTTAGAAACATGAGCGACGGGGCTACCTTTAAATATAGTTGTGTTATCAGCACATTTCACATCTTTGTGTTTACTGAAAACGTCATGTTTTTGGGCAGATTTTGGACTTTTTAGCTGAACAGTGTTTTGAAGTCGGATTAGTTTTTAGCTGGCCAGTTCCTAACTACGGGTCACATCCCTGCTTTTTTAAACCAACAGCATAATAATTTAAGTCCTGTGCCACATTTAAATGTTTGTGAGCATTTGAATGCTGCTGTGGGTGCAGATGTAGGACACAACCTGGGTGAGAATGTATTTACATCACTGTTAATGCTCAAGTGCAGAACTTAGTTATGTATATAAATACTTCAGGCTCATAACAACTCAATGCTATAGTTCTATGGAAAAACATTATTGCATTCAAGTAGGAGAACATTGACACAAATGGGGGGGGGGGGCGTTATATATTTAAAGATTCTAAGTTGAAGGGTTTACAACTCAAATTATAAGTAAATAAACTTCTATTTAATTGTTATGTAGAATAATCTGTATGGTCCCACGTGTCCATTCTGGTGAGGAAAGTAAGTCACAAATTTCTTTTTTGAAAATCTACTGAATGATGCTCAGATCTGCATCAATAAATTCATTATATGCTGTATAGTGATTTTCAATAAAGAGGGAAAACAAGATTATTGTTTTACTGGACAAAATCTGGTGCAGCTGAGCTTGTGTCCAATCTTCTTTATCCCTAAAATAAATAATGTTGGTATGAAGCTCTTGAAAGGCTTCATCTGAACGTGATCTGCGGCTCTCGTTGGAGCGGTTCGCAGCCGAGTGTGAAGCAGCTGGGATGAGAATCGGCTCCTCTAAATCCGAGACCATGGTCTTGAGTCGGAAAAGGGTAGAATGCCTTCTCCGGGTCAGGGATGAGGCCCTGCCCCAAGTGGAGGAGTTTAAGTATCTCAGGGTCTTGTTAACAGGTGACGGAAAAATAGACTGGCGGATTAGTGCTGCATCTGCAGTGATGCAGGCGTTGAACCGTTCAGACATGGTGAAGGGAGAGCTGAGCCTGAAGGCAAAGCTCTCGATTTACCGGTCGATCTACGTTCCTACCCTCACCTATGGTCACGAGCTTTGGGTAGTGACCGACAGAATGAGATCACGGATACAAGCGGCCAAAATGACTTTTCTCCAAGGAAATACCCCTTGTTTACCCCCTGAAGGTAAACAAATTGTGCCTTTTTAGATCTATTTGTGTTTGTTTTTCATTAATTTTCCACTAAAATCAGCATCTCATTGAAAATGTATCCATACTTTTAGCTTTTTTTTTTTCTTTCATAACTCCTTTTTTTTAAATGACAACAAATCTCTTCTAATTTTAGGTGAGAGAATAAACATCAGATTCTAATCTCTAAAAAATTCTGGTCTAATCTAATAATAAAGTTTCTTAGAGTAACTTTTTGCCTCAAATTTCTGAGAATAAGTGATGAAAGCTTCCATTTATTCTCATTATTTCTTCACTGTGCTTTAAGGGGCTCAGCATGTACGCAGGTATCTGAAACGGCAGCACCTTGTCTGTGTTAGAGCCTCCATTGTGTTTATCATGGACCTGTCTAATTACTGGAAAACCTGCTTTTGACCTCTTCATATCAGACTCCGCACCGAGACCTGAAAAAATGACTCGGAAACAACAAAGACTGTCGAGTATCTCTGAACACGTTTAATTCACGAGTTAGCAGCATTTTCTGCTCCGTGCTCACTCACGGTTGTTTTGGTGGTTCGGGCGCGCTCCACACACGCTCTGGATCTGCGATAAAGTCCCGCCTCCGTTTGATTGACGGCAACAGGCAGATTTCTCCACAGTTTCTTTTATAAGAACTGTCAATGATGCGGGACATGAGTCTCAATTTGCGGGACACGTGGGGGCCCTCTGCCCCGGGAGCGGTGGTCGACTGTAGCTTCCTGGGCGCTCTATGGGTGGGGGTCTATGCCCCCCCTCCAATGAGCGCCCTGACTTAGTGTGGAAGACCTGATGCTGCCGGGACAGACGGCTCCTCTGATGGCGTTTCCTTGCGTTACCATACTTGGCTCATCTGGACTCAGCCTAATATAATTTTTACTTGTGTGTGTGTGTGTGTGAGTCTGTGTGTGTGTGCGTGTGATTGCATATGTTTGTTAATGTTTTTAACCTGTTATGGGAATCTGGGGTCATTTTGTAAAGCACTTTGAATAACACTTTGTTTGAAAAGCGCTTTAGAAATAAAATTTGATTGATTGATTGAAAAGTAATGAAAATGCGGAACTGTCCCGCACAAAGCGGGACATCTGGTTTAACCAGTGATGAGGACCTAGGTTTACAGGTTGTCTCCCCACAGAACAAGGGTGTCAAGCCCACCATTTTGTACCATGAGCTGAGGCCCTGCGATTTTATACCTAGGAGGTAGCCCAGTGACTCTGCTTGTAACAAGACTTAACCCACCTTGCCAGCTGGTGGTGCCAGAGTACAGCAGGTCTTGCCTCTATCAGTACGCCCCCAGGGCAGCTTTGTCCACATTATAGCTTATCCCCACCAGCGTGTGAATGGGTGGATGACTGTGTTGTGAAGCGCCTTGGTGGTTTTAGAACCCTAAGAAGGCGCTATACAAATACAGGCCATTTACCAAATTTTTTGTGAGACTTAATACCAAAATCTTTGTAGACTAAAATCTTTTAAAGTCGACTTAAACTGAAAAGTTTTTTTTGTCCAAAAGACTAAAGCCTAATTTATGCTTCTCTGTCTGTGTCGGTATGGAGACACGCAGCACCATTATCCGTCGTTGTCGGGCCTCTTCAACAGGCGCACTTTTCTAAACATCCGTTGAATGATACGGAGAGCGCAAGCTTGTGATTAGTCAGGACGCCGCTTCCTTTGAATATGTCAACACTGCCACTGCTCCTGCAAAAAATAAATAAATAATGAAATCTAGCGATATACCCACAGAACTCTATGTAATTAATCATGTGACCTGAAACTGACGGCGGTGTAAAAGGTTTATGAGATAATGTTGCATCAATCACTGGAATTTGACATTCGAGCCATCCTAAAGCCACACTTGAGCTTCTCGCTTCTCCCTTCTGGTTGAAAGCAGTAATACAACTGTCCTAACAAGTCTGATGCAGCCTGCTGTTACTTGTGCTAACAACGAGCTAATGCTAACACAAGCCAGCTGATACCTAATAATACTTTTTTGTCCAGCAGTGTGGATCTCTTTACTTCATGACTTGTTAGGTGCTTGCTACCACAGGCTGTGGAAGTGGTGTGTGTGACAGTTGTAATCCCGCTTTCAGCCAGTAGGAGGGAGGAGCAGGAAACTTATTAGGTGTTGCTAGCCTTTAAGTGAGCTTCCCGGCACAGTTAACAGCTACTGCCATGAATTGGGTAGAGACCTCCCCCTGGGGAACCTATTTGTGCCGAGTCCATTTTATGTCTAAAGCACTTTACCACACACACCTTTTAGTAGACTGTGTTTAGGTCTTGTGCTCTTGTTTTCTTCCTTAGACATCAGACAGATTTTCATCGTATAATTCACGTCCTTAAATATGTTTCTGTTTTTTATTTCCAGGTTTCTTCGATACACATCTGTCTCGCGATAACCAACTTGTCAAAGTTCAACAATGGCTGCTACACAGAAGCTGACATCATCAAATTGCTTCAAAAATATGAGATTCAGTGTGAAGAAAACAAACTTTTTGTCCTTCCTCATATTCATATGGTAGGAGAAGATGGCTTTACTATGATTCCAATAAGCCCAACTAATTCTGACTTGTATGTGAACATTCTTTCTTTTAGATTAGTAACTTGGTGTTTTTTTGTTCTCCTTTCAGGCTTTTGTTCTTTTCCCAGATGTGTCAAAGGTGCAGACTTTATTCAAAGTGTCTGAGCAAGTAAAGGCCAAGAGTGTTGTTCTCAAAGGGTCCGAACTCAGCGTCTTTGCTTTCTCCCTTCCTAATAAAAGTTTTGTAAGTTTGCTTAAACATTTTAAAAGATAACCGTGTAGATCGATGTGTTTCTATGTGGGATGTATTTAGGAAAAAAATGGCTGTAGTTGATGGAAAATTCTGAACTTCTAGCATTGTTATGGCCCAGCTCATTGAGCCACAAAAAACAGCGATATCCTTATAAAAGTTAATAAAAATATAATTTATTCATTAAAACAACCTCAAATTAACTTCAAATCAGCAAAGGTTAAACCAAAGAGGTGCAAACCTAACGCCAATGTGGCAGCATGCTCGGGTGGGGTGGGGTCGTTTTTTCTTTGTGGTTTAATAGCAGTTGGCAAAGATCTGCAGATGCATTACCGCCACCTTCCGATCCCTCCCATCTTTCCCACTACATCCTTCTCCTCACCTTGGTGCTTTTTAGAAACCTCAACACCGCCCCAGTACACACGTGGCTTGCTTTTTTCCATAGAATTCCCCTAACCGTCAGTCTACACCCTTCAAAGAGATGTTAGACTTACTGCAGGGTTAATATACAGACACTGCAGGTACTCAAGTGCTCTACATCATCCCAATCAGCCAGGTGTTTGAGGCAGACTGCCCTGATTGGCCACATAATGACCCACAGGGTCTTAACACCTCCTCCTTAAGACTGTGTCACAACTGGAACACCAAAACATGTCCACACTGGAGTGGACTCATTGGCATGCCATACCAAACAGCACAGTACTATGCACAGATGTGAGATGTATGATCTATGGTTAAACCCAAATGCTGCACTTGGATTGTGGTAACACGCAACCAACCAAAGGAAGGCAACCCAGCAGAAGTAACTGCGGCCACCAACGCAAACGGTTACATACACAGTGGCCTCATATCACCTCAAGGCTCCAAATTCAGCCAGGCAATCAGAAGTGACCAAACAAATGGAGAGCAACACCCACACAATGACTTCAGTTGGTATGGTCCAATACCACACCCATACAAGTCATAGCTGCTACAAATGGCAGACTTGCTATCGGGAGCACCGAGACAGTTCCCGGTGGCCTGACACCTCAAGTGGCCATCTCGGTGTGGCAAGGTGGAGAAACGAGGGCCCGGGCGGGCTTCGATCCCCTGACTCCCGGGTGAGAGTCATACGCTCTAACCAGTCAGCCAAAGGGACATCCCCTTGGCCAAGTAGCCTGGGCGCATGATCAATCGGGACATTGTGACAGGACGCTCACACTGTCACATCTTCCCCCCTCTTTCCACAAGCACGTCCTTGTGCTCCCGCGCAGGGTGCCACAAACTCCACATCCATGGACCTACTTGACAGTACTACATGGATCCTGCCAACAACGCCAATGTGGCAAGGTGGAGAAACGAGGGCCCGGGCGGGATTCGATCCCCGGACTCCCGGGTGAGAGTCATACGCTCTAACCAGTCAGCCAAAGGGACATCCCCTTGGCCAAGTAGCCAGGGCGCATGATCAATCGGGACATTGTGACAGGACGCTCACACTGTCACATCAGTATTGCCGCCACATTCCTGGCCTGAATTGTTCTCCCAGTCTGTCCCTGGGTGCTGTTGAGCCAGTAACAACACAATGTGATCCAAACAAAGATGGACTTGTCCCTCCACAACACCAAAAACCCAAGATACTCACCTCGTCATATAATCCCTTATTACTGATGGAGTCGGACAACATTTTAAACAGCTGTAACACTAAACCACAAAATTTCAACCACATCAGCAACCCACAAACTACCAGAAGACTTAACACCAGATCTGTCCTCATCTACTGCAACTTTTCTGCAAGAGGTCCCAGAAGCAAATCCTGGACAGGCTCCCAATTGTTACTTCCCTAGCTCATTGGGCCATAACAAAAGGAGAGACGCACCATGTAAAAGTTAATAAAAATATAATTTATTCAACTAAAATAACCCCAAATTTACCTGTAAAAACAACAGTTAAACTGAGCGGGTGCGCACTGAACACAAATGTGGCAGCATGACTTTGGGAGGAGCACAAAGAGGGTTACACTAGTGCAAGGTTTAAATACAGACAAATCACGTGTTTCTAACATTAGTATTCTTTTATTTTCAGCTTTCGTTTTACGAATTTCTGAAGCGTCTCGCAACCTTTGTAAGTTTTTCTCTTTCATCTCTTTGGTTAAAAAAGGTTCTCACCTGCGATTTTCGTTTTACATCATTCAACATTTTTCTACGTTCCTGCTTATTTCAGGCGTTGCCAGATCTGTTCGCAAATTCAAAGTTAAAGCAAGCCTCTGACTTATTTAAACTTTATTTCTTTGTAGAAAAAGCGGAAGGGACCCCGAGACAAAACAAGTATAGTTTACGTTTGGAGTATCTCGCAAAGCGAAGCTGCACATCTCAGGCAGGCTTTAAGAAAAATCGGCGGATTGATGAACTATCAGCCAATGCTCAACAAGGTAAACACACACACACCAACAAACGCACATTCTTGGACACTGAAACAACTCACTGTTTTTTTTTTTTATCTGTTGCCATCTGATGTTCCAGGTTTTGGTGGAATTTCTGACATCTTTGGATGCTGACCGGTTTGGAATTTGGTGCAGCTTCCTAAAGCCGTGTTTTTCCTACAGCGTGTTCAGGATGGGTGTGCCATGCCCCAACACTCCAAACGTTTGTAAGTTGGTTTAAACAACAAAGCCTCCAGTCGTAACTACAGATAGTTAGATAGATACAAAACAGTTATTTTCCCTGTCAAGAAGTTATTTGTTTGTTACTAACTTGTTTACTTTTTTGAAGAAGTAATCAGTAACTAATTACTTTTTTAATGTGACTTGCCCAACACTAGCTTAAATACCTTTTCTCTCAATTTGAGGCGTAAATAGAAAATCATCCATTTCTAGATGGAAATCTAGACTCATCCACAAAGTCCAGGCATTAACATTTTGCTTCAGGTGCGTAGACGGTTAACACACATTTATGTTTTGTATGTGCAGTGCCGTCACTGTCGGTACTGGCTTTGTCGGACAGAGATGTCACCGTAGCCGGGGCATCGTCCCCAAGTTCACCGATGGGCATTCCAGTGGGCACCGGCACAACTTTTTGGGTTACCATGACAACCAATCCTTACGTTTACCCCACCGGGCTGCCGTTGTTCAACATCCCAGGTGAGAGTCAAGACAGCTGGAGCTAATGAAGCAGCTCAGGTTGATTTCACAGTAGAAATAGCATTGAAAGTTCAAACGGGTCACTGAAAGTCTGACTTTTCAGAGCTGGACTGGTGTTTCAGCATTTTTCGTGGTGTAAATGGTGGTGTGAGGGATTTATCTCCTCGCTAATGGTTATGTCTCTTGTTTCTGTTTAATCCTGTATTTCTGTGAGTGTTTTAGGTCAAATAAGCTTGGTAATCTATAAATTACTTTAAGTTAAGTTGATTTATTGGTGATCATCACTCCTTTCCTTCTAAGGTCATTTGTTTAAGTGTTGCCATGGCATGGACAAAGCATGGCAAGTGTTCCTGGCATGGACGTAATTTTGGGGGGGTACAGGGGGGACATGTCCCCCCCCACTTTCTCCAAAGTCAAGTTTTCACCCCTGCACTTTTTACCAATACTTTATATTAAATTGGCACTGGTTGAGCTCTAGGACCAAGCAGAAAACAACCATTTGTGTTGAAGGCTGTTTCCCATTAGAACATACTGTAACGACCCCCCCCCCCCCACCCCCACCCCACCCCCCCACCCACACACACACACACACACACGTGTCCCCCCCCCACTTCTAAAGTGAAAATTACGTTCATGGTTCCTGGTGTGCTTAATCAGCTCTACTGAGGGAGAAACTAACTGACTGAAGCGAGAGGGGGGAGAGGAGGTTATCTTGTGTTTGTTTAAGTGTAGTTGTTGTTGTTTTTGTTCTTTTGAGTTGAGGTAGGAGGTAAATATGCAAATAGATTGTTTGAAATATTTTGTTGAGATGTACTTTATTGATTGTAAGATTTCAAGCTAATTGTTTCCCCTGCCCATGTCATAATGGTTGGTTCTAAAGTAGCTTGAAAAGGCCAGATGGATTTGGCACTGTTGTTGGTTGGTTGCTTGTTAAGGGGAATCCATGCCCCAATGTCATGGATTGTTTGCATTAAAAAGGATAAAAAGTCAGAGCTCTGCAACATCCTGGGACTCTTGCTTTTTCTTCTGTTGACAAACATCTGGTAACATCCTGAGTGAGTGACAAGGCAGAGGCTCTGTCTGAGCCAAAACCTTACAGGTGGTTACTATGGTGATCCTAATGAGCCACTGGCAGCAGCTTTGATATTTCTTTTGATCTCGTTTCTTTAATGGGGCGAACACATTTTTTCTAAGACGTTATACGTAAAGGAAGGTTGGGATTTGTTACCACCTCAGCTGACTTGGTGTGACACGCTACGTTTTAACATACACATGTGTTTTTAACAAGTGAGACCTGATGATGGCATACAGCTAAATTCGATGCTCGTCACAGTGACGTCTGAACAGGCTGTTTTTTGTTCTCCACTTCCAGCTTTTCGCACAGTCACTCCGCGATCACAAATAAAGCACCTCGAGGTAAGAACTTTTTAATAGTTAGTTTTTAAATGAAAGTTATTTTTTATTTTTTACTGTAAGCCTATTTTCAGACTCTCTCATTTTCCTTCTTTGTTTGTAAACAGCATCATCAGTTCGTTTTCCTTGTGGAAGTAAAATAGTTTCCGTTTCTCTGTTCTTTTACATAATGAATCAGTGACTTCTGTTTGAATTCTGTAGCCTGTGAGGCTCTATCGCCTGAAAGTCATCATGCTGACGGGGTTGCCACCGAACATTTACACGCAGGAGGACTTCGCCAAGCTGGTGTGGAAGCATTTTCCTGAGGAGAATCTTGACCCTCTGGACAACAACGTGATGTTTTTACCGCTGCAGAGGCGGGTAAGGATTCAAACCAAGCACTGCTGTTTTAATGTAACTGCACCCAGTGATACTTTATCTTTTTTTGTTTCCAGGCCTTTGTGTATTTCAGCGGGTGGGAAGCTTGCTTCAGCTTTCTTGAAAGTTACATCAGAAATCCATTTTACAAAAGAAACTACAAACTGTGCGTCCATTATGTCTTAGACAACATCTTCCTGAACACCAATGAGGTAAGAACTATTCCACCCTAAACGCACCTTCCCGTGGCGAATTCACGTCTGGGTCGGCCCAGACTGGTCTTGGGTCGTCATTTGGAATCGTAGGATGTCCAAGGAAGGTCCCGCCTTTCTCGCCTCTGATTGGCTAGAAGGGCTCTACTGGCTATTTCATTTAGCAGCAAACTGTCTCCCCTTGCTAAGTGCAGACTGTCCTCACAGACAGAAATATTCAACTACTATGGTCCTCCTACCACCAACAAAACAGCTGTTTTTAGGGAGTTTTTTTTAAAAAGAAAATGTGAACTTATTGCTATAATAACCATTCTGTCCTGTTTTGCTAAATATTTTTTTGTTTCTTTTATTTAAAAACATAAAATTTTAACCTATATTACATCTTGTTGCATCTGTCACTCTGTTGGATGTATATATGTTGGCTCTCAAGCACTTATTAAAGCAGAGTAAATAGGATAAATGTGTGTGCCATACCTGGGTATGAAATATAATAAAACCGCCCTATTTAGCCCAGCTGTGTGCAGCAGGACTGTTTCTCTTCTAGAATAAGTCTAAATCATAATCAGCTTTGAATTAAATTTTGATTGAATGATGCACATTTAATCAGATGACAGATGTGCTCTAGCAGCCTTAAAGGGACTTTACAGAGTTTTGAATTTTCAGGCCAAAAGCGTAACGGCAGCTTCAATAGTAGGCTCGTGCACGAGGCGCGCATGCTGTACGTGCACACTGCTTAACGAAAATAACAGCTGAGACAGTCCCGTGTGTGTGTGTGGCCCAGAAGACAGGAGAACACGCAGCTAATTAATTAAATAATTTGGTTCTGTATCTTTCTCTTCAGCACAGCCGACAAAGGTTTATGATGGGTCAGTCCTCCTGCATGCTCAGATCATTCCCTTCCCTTGCTTGAAAAATTGTTCCAAAATGAAAGTTGAACCCACATCTTTTTTATCTGTGAATTCAACGCCGTTCGGCGAGTCTCAAATAAAAATTTGGGCATCTTACTGTAAAAAATATACCAATAATGTAAAAAAGAAACTCTAAATGAACTATGTTCACATCCAGAATTGAACCCGGATTTTCTGCACGAAAGTCCGACGTCTTACTAGGTGAGCTAAAGCGCCAGTAGCGTCTTTCGTATCTGTAACATTTATATCCTTGATGACAGCTGAAACAACGTTCAAAGAACGGTTCGGAGCGAAAATGGCTATTTTGTTGCTAATTTGCAGGAAATATCTATAAGAAAGTAGCTAAGGGTCCTCAGAAATGTAGCTAGGTTCATCACTAGGCGTTAGGAACAGCAACAAAGTTGCTGAGTTGGCACTACCTCTCTCTCTGCTGCTAAAGCTACGGATAGCAAATGCTACGGGCGATGCCTGAGCGTGAACGCGCATGAAGCAGCCCGCTCGACCCGAGCATCTCTCTTTTTCTGTGATTTTACAGAAAAACAGGCAATCACAGTAAAAATGCCAGGGCTCATTCTACAGGACCAGGGCATTGCAGGAGAATGTATGAAGAAGACATTTATTATTTCTATACATGTTTTGACTGTCACACTTCCATAATGCCCCTTTAACCTATTAAAGAGGAGACCTAAGATGGCCGAATAATTAAGTTATAATATAACCCCAGAAGACCCAGCAGATATAAAGTTAATCTAACTGTGTGATATAATGCAACAAGGTTTATTACAAGCTCACATTGTCAGGTTATTTTATGAAAAATGAAACTGGTAAAAGAGGACAGAATGGTTATTAATGCAACAAGTTCACCTTTTCTTCAAAAAACTCCTCAAGATCTGGCTGTAAACATAAAAACCCTGCAGCAAGGGAATACTGCTTCCTCTTACATGAACTAGCCAATCGTAGGAGAGCCCTTCCAGCCAATCAGAGGCAAGAAAGCTGGGACCTTCCTCGGACACCCTATGATTCCAAATGACGCTCCCCGTGGTCAGTTCACACATGTCGTCTTTGGTTCGGCCTTCACAGAAGCGCGGATGTGTCAGAGCGTGTGGGCAGGGCAAAGGATGCACGGAGGAGTCTGTGGTGTCCTTGAGTTAGTAACGACAGTGGATGCGAGCAGTGTTGCTTTGGAGACTATAAATGAGGCCCAGCTTCCTTCTCCCTGAGCAGCGGTGCTGCCGTGGGCTCCACCGACAGCAGTCTGTCCTCGCGCTGGAGCGGCAGGTCCCAGCAGCAGTCACAGAAGATGTTTACCCATCTGCATCAGTTTGACAGTGAATCATGCATGTGGGAATCCAGCGCTGGCTGATCCTACACACCAATCAGAGGCTCCCTCTAGTAGGAAGACATGAAGGCATGTTGGGCCAGTTGAGCACCAAGATGACCGCCGGGGAGCAGTTCCAAAAAAAAAACTGGTCAGCTGAGCACAGAAAACGCACAGATCACCCAGATGTGAACACAATTAACCTAACAGGTTTAGACCGGGTCGGCCCAGATGTAAGAGCACCATCAGAAGTGGATTGGGACAATTTTGTCATAAAAACAGAAGGATAACAAGTTTTACTCATAAGATTGAAGTCAGGAGACTGGCTAGGCCACTCCAGATCCTTAAAAAGCTTGTTTCGTAGTCACTCCTTTATTGCCTGGGTGGTGTGTTTGGAGTCATGGTCACGCTGGAAGATCCAGCCACGTTTCTTCCGCGATGGTGTAGGGCGAACTGCCCTGTTGACTGATGCCTGTAGCAACGATTAACTCGGTGGGATTGCTCAGATTGGTCCTAGCGCTGTCCAGTTTCTTCCAGAGACGGTTTTAAAGACCACCACGGATTCCGCCCCACGACCGGGCTCTTTCAGCGGGTCGTGGCCAGACCTACATTTACATATGGAGGCAAATTCATTGTGCACGTCTCTCCCGCTAATCAGAAGCTGTGAACAAATCCTCACTAAACCTGTGTCGATATCAAAATATTAACAAATATATTAATCATAAGTTATTAAATGTTTTCTGAAAACTCCAAAGAAAGCTCAAAGTGAAAATATGCTTGTGATGATTTTTCAGGAGACCGTGTACAGAGTCCTGATGAAATGGAGCAACAGTGTAAGTTGATGTTTAAATCTGATCTGAGCGGTTATGGTTATCGTTGATTTTTTTTTTTACCTCCTGACACTAAAGTCGAATGTTTCTTCAGTATGTTTCTGACGTGAAGTCTTTGGGGGAGCGGCTGCTGTGTGTGGAGGTTTCAGGAAGAGGTATTCCCTTCGTTTGCACCGTCATGAAGAGGGTGGCTAGCATCGCTACGTTTGTCAGCTTCCTGCCGCTGGCTAACAGGGTACGCTAACGGGTCAAGTTAGCTTAGCTTTACCTGGGATGACTTGTCCCAAAGATTTAATGTTTCGTCCATTAAATTCTAGCTAGCTTTTGCTAGCACACAAAAGTTTTTATCCAACAGGAACTTATTTTAGAAGAGATTTTAAGAAGATCCTCTAGAAATTCTTAGAAGCACATGACTTTGTGCTGTCGTATGCCATCTTGGACCAGCTGAAGCATTAACATTTGTAGTGTTTTTTAATTATTACATTACCTATGGTGTCTTTGTGTCAGAAGAACAATAATTTCTGTGACTTCTGGGATGATTTTGTTTGAGTGTAAATTCAAAAATTTACCTTCCAAATTATTTTTTGACCCAAGTTTTAGTCGTAACTCCTCCAAGAATAACCAAAATATTGGAAACTCACACCAAAATGTTAACAGTCAACTTAATCCCTGTTATTTATCTGTTTTTTTTGTCTCTGTTAAACAGATTTACATCGAGATGGCTGAATCCAGCGGAGTAACAAAGGTGGTGGGGACCCTGTCTGCGTCCAAATCGTCTGAACAGTGTGAAACGTGGTGCGTGTTTAGTTTTAAATGATCAAAGTGCATAATTAGATTGTTAATGTGTGATTTTCTTTTTTGAAATATGTCCTTTTATTTCATTCCACAGGAAGCAGGTTGGACGCGTTGAGTCGTGAGTATTTATTGTTGTTTTTTTAGCAACACTAAAGTAGTTTGCCGCTTTTCCCTCCTATTGATTGAAATCAAAATTACAACTCTCGTAAAAAACCTGCAGCGGCCGCTGTAGCTAGCGCTAACAACGAGCTAACACTGACACAAGCCAACTAATACTAAATAAGCCTCGAAATAAAAGGATCCACAAAGTTGGACAAAAATAGTATTACTTGCAAGTCCAGTAGCAACAAAGCTAGGTCACCATCAGTCCATGGTTTTGTAGCCTCCTCCAGTTCCCTCCGAGTGTAGGCAGTGCCGATGTTCACTCTCGCTTTAGCTCTTTGCTTTGTCTCCAAAAACTTATTCTCTTACTTGTACTAGTGCCAGGCTCCACCATGATCGTTGTCGTCGTCTTCCTCCTCTTATCCGGGTCCGGGTCGCGGGGGCAGCATCCCAACTAGGGAACTCCAGACCGTCCTCTCCCCGGCCTTCTCCACCAGCTCCTCCGGCAGGACCCCAAGGCGTTCCCGGACCAGATTGGAGATGTAACCTCTCCAACGTGTTTTGGGTCGACCCGGGGGCCTCCTGCCGGCAGGACATGCCCGAAACTCCTCCCCAGGGAGGCGTCCAGGAGGCATCCTGACCAGATGCCCAAACCACCTCAACTGGCTCCTTTAGATCCGGAGGAGCAGCGGTTCTACTCCAAGTCCCTCCCGAATGTCCGAGCTCTTCACCCTATCTCTAAGGCTGAGCCCGGCTACCCTACTGAGGAAACTCATTTCAGCCGCTTGTATCCGCGATCTCGTTCTTTCGGTCATTACCAAAAGCTCATGACCATAGGTGAGGACTGGGACTTAGATCGACCGGTAAATCGAGAGCCTGGCTTTCTGGCTCAGCTCCCTCTTCACCACGACAGATCGGCTCAGCGTCCGCATCACTGCAGATGCCGAACCAATCCACCTGTCGATCTCCCGATCCTACCCTCACTCGTGAACAAGACCCAGAGAAACTTAAACTCCTCCCCTTGAGGTAGGACCTCTCTCCCGACCCGGAGTTGGCAAGCCACCCTTTTCCGTTCGAGAACCATGGCAAACTTCTTCTTCTTCTTTTTCCTGAGCTTTTTATTGACATTCGGTGAACCTAAAATGCTAACTCTCGCTTTCTCTCAGAAAGCACCAGCAGGCTGGAAGATTACCTGTCCACCATCATTAGAAAAAAAAAGGGTGGGGGGGGCAGTTTTTTTAAGGAAGCGAGCGACTCCGAGCACTAACGTTTAAAATCGGCAGGCGAGTGGTTGAGCCAAGTGGAGGTGCGGCCGAGACTCAGCTAGAGTCTAGTGCAGTGCAGCCACGTAGGAAGGTAGAGACGCCACCCTGCAGCTCTACAGCCATCAGCTGTGACTGATTCTCAATCAGTGTGGAGCAGCGTTTTAACCTGAAGATGGAGATGTATTTACGGTTTTAAGCTGAAATATTATTTTTAAGCAAGTTAAGTGCCGTTTCGGGTCAGCAGAGGGCGACTGAGTGATGTAGAATGTAAAGTTGTTCACGTTTATGGCTGAAGAATCACTGGAGCCAGTTTAAAATCAATAGCATAACATTTTATAAACTCTTTGGTGATGCTTTGAAGCCTCAGAGTTTTATTTTTTCCTACAGATGTGGAGGTATCGTGTAAATACAGATGTTCTGTTTATTTCAGCTTGAAGAGTAGAAAACTCCGTCTTCAAGACTCTAAAAGGACTGCAGTGAACCTTGAACTGAGCAACGTTGGCGTCCACTCTGAATCCACCGCTGATAAAGAGGCACCAAAAACCGGCTGGGATCATGCTGAGCTTGGATCCTTGGTGTTGGATCCTGCAGCAGCAACAGGACTGAGCAGCACAGCGATGGAGGAGGAGAGACGTGAAACCGAGGTCCCAGTCTGCAGCATCACTGATCTGGGAACAGCAGAGGAGAAGAAAGAGGAGTCTGTAACCAGCTCTTCTCCATCACCCACAAGTCTGGCTCAGCCTCAGGCCGATCTTCCACCGATCGACAGTAGCAGCTTTAGGGCTTTAAAAGAAGTTATTCACCTGTACAAACTCCATCACAGCAAACAGGTCATTTAAACTTTATTCGTGTTTTAAAAATACAAAATAACCTAACCTGGCAAGCCAGACTAAATAAATGTATTATTTAGTCTGGCCATGCTCCATTGACAGCTCTCGGTTGTGGGGCGGGTTCTACCGTTGTCTTTCAAATGATCTCCGCATTCCACTGGACAAAGAATGTGACATACTCTCACTCTGTTGCATCATCCCACCCACCAGGCATATAGAGTGCCCTGATTGGCCCACAAAGAGGATAAAGCTCTGTGATTTGTTCACTAAGCAGATAGAGCACTATGATTGGCCCACCATTATGGACCAATCACAGCTCTTTATGTGTTTGAAACCCCTCTAGAGAGCTGTGATTGGCTAGCCAGAGTCCTGGTAGGAGCTGCTGAGGTTCCAATGGAGCGTCCCTAGACCAAACTTTGCAAAGCAAGAATTTAGTCTAGTTCACTAGGCTACAAAATAACCAGTTTTAAGACGAGTTTAATGGAACATTAGAAACCCAGAGGCTTTATTTAATAGCTGGTTTTAAGAGGTTTACTTCACTGATGAACATCAAGAATTTAAACTTATCTAATATAAAAGAAAATAAAACAAGAGATGTTCAGGATTGTTTTCATCCCCGGTCCTCTTTTACTTAGTAGTTACTCAGTTACTCTCTGAGTCGCCAACTCAAAGCACAAAGATGTCCCATTTGTCAAAGACCGGCTTTGTCTGATAGAACCATGAGTGATTTGTTTTTCTGCTGTCCAGGTTCAGGAGGCTACCAAAGACGTTCGTTCTTCAGAGGTTTGTGACAAGACAGATTTGAACTTTGAGAACTTCATTACAATTGACGAAATTAATGAAGACGAGGTGGACAAAGATGTGTCTCCCTCATCGAAGCCAACTTCCAGAGATTCAGAAGAGGCTTCAAAACCTACTTCATCCTCACCCAGCTCCACAGATGCCAGCCCGTCTTCTACAGAGCTTCAGAAACACCCGCTTGAACCCAACAAGTCCCAAACAAATCCTTCATCTTCTGCCAATAATACATCTCCCTTCGTCCCTTCTTCAAAGTCCGTAGAACCAAGCGTTTCTCCTGGTCTGAAAGCTCAGCCGATTAGAGCGAAGACTCCTAAAAGAGCGTCACAGGCGTTACCCACAGGTCGGGTAACTCGCTCGTCAGCAGCAGCGGTTAAAACATCTGTAGAAACGCTACGGTCACATCAAAAGGAAGGTGAGCCTCCTGGGGGTGCAATGGCTGAGGCGTCGGCGGAGAGCAGCACTGAAACATCGGACATACGTCCACCATCACCCAGGGACAAGCTAGAAACAGTCCTCAAAGATGTGAAGACCAGAAAAGAAAAGGATGAAGGTAAAAGTACAGAGGTGACAGAAAAGAGTGAAGAGGATGACCTGGTCATTAGTTCACTAGATGAACAGATGAATAAAGTGAGCAACGAGGAAACCCAGAAACCTCGATCTGAGGGAGACCAAGTCTCACAAAATGAGTGTCTTCATGTCTCAGAGGTTAATAAAGATCAAATTTGCAGTGAGATAAAAAATGCTAAACACGAATCGGCTACGGCGCAACAGGAAGAAGGTTCTCCTCCAAAACCAGACCAGGCAATGGAAGAGAACCAGAATGTACCAGTAAACCAGGACGAGTCCCAAACAGAGGATGGAGAGAAAGTAAAGGACTTTCAAGAGGAGTCCGTCCCAAAAATGTCTGCTAGAAGATCTAGTAGGGGAACCAAAGGTCTGAAGACCTCTCCAGACAAAGTGACAATCGTGACGAGGTCCACCAGAGGACGAAGGACAATGACGGCTGAGGAATCTGAAGATGGGGAAAAGAATGGAAAAGAAAAAGAGACTCCAACGAGACCGGGGAGGACACTTGGCAGGAATGAACAGCAACTAAACAATGAGGACACTCCAAAGGTGAAGGACATCACACCAACAAACAAAACCAACACTGATGGAGACACGGATGGGCCAAAAACCTCGCTAGAGGTCTCGGGGGAGTCTGAAGAAGAGACTAAACAAGCTGCAAGCCCCAGGAAGAGAGGCAGACCCAGGAAGACAACCACAGTAGCATCTCCTGGTGAGTGTAGAAGAATTTGCTTGAAGACTACATTACAGTGTCTCACACTGGAGAATATCTGGAGACTACAAAATTGCAAGAAAAGTGTCAGATTATCAAATCGTATCAATCTGATTTGGTATAATATTAATGCATTTATTTAAAATATAACATATTTTTTAAATGCTCTCGTCACAATTCAGTCACAAAGCGTCTTAAGTTTGTCTCAATTTGTGTGCAACTCATCCTAACTTCATTGTGCACCTTTCTTGGTCAAAGGTCTCAGAGGTCTGCAAACCCTCTCAACCCTCACACGTTCTGGGTTAAGGAAACTAAACCGAGAATGATTCTTGACTAGTTAATATATTCTCAGGGACTATTCTGAGACTAAAGTTGTCTGGTGAATGTCGAACATGCAAGATTCCTGCGACGCAGGAACAAGGCTCTGCGACCAACGAGAGGACGTTAAGGACTCGTCTGAATGTTTCAGGAGAGTTTAGGAACCTGGAAAATTAACCGTACCACTCAAACCAGAGGGTGCTGATAATGTAGAGGAAGGTGTAAAGCACAGCAAAAAAATGGCTGAAATTGGTTCTTATTTAGCTGCTGCTCTAATAATTCTTAGTTTTACTCTCAATATGAGGAAGAAAGGGTAAGTTATAAATAAGCCTTTTACTAAATGAATTTTCAGCTGATATGATTACTTCTATAATGTTTTGTTATAAAATGTTAAATTAGTTTTTCAGCAGGATGAGGGTGGATCATTTTGGGAATGTGAGGCTAATTCTGTGTTACAGGTAATAAAATGGAATCTTTAAAGGTGCAACAAGTAAGAATTTTACAGTAAAATAATCACAAAAAGTCTAATGTCTTAATCTTGTTGGAAGGAGGGTTACACTCAAACATATTTCCTTCTTGGCTGTCTGGGGGTTGTCTTTTTTTTTTTTTTTTAAGGGCTGAAAGGGGACTAAGTTGTTGTTTGCAATCTGCCCCGCCTCCATACTTCCTGATTCTAGAGACAGTCATGTTTAGGTTGACAAACACTGCTTTGCCAGCATTTGCAATCCAGCATAAAACAGCAGTGTTGTGGGAAAAAAATGTCAGCCAGTAAAAAGCAGCAACCCAGAAGTTCATTATTGTAACCCTAAGAAGCCACATCACCTTTTGGTTTTAGGTATTAGGTAAAGAAGGCTAGTGGCTAATGTTAAGCTAACAATGCTAACTATGAACTAGAAAAAAAAACAGTACCAGCAACTCGATATTACAGCGAAACATATTTATCTACGTTAGGGGTTGTACGAAATAGTCGACTAGTCGACTTCACGGCTCTGTAGTGACTTTTTATGCCTGTCATCAACTAGTCGTTGTCACGTGATAATGACTGACAAGATGCAGTCCTCGGAAAAGACAGCAGGTGATGAGCCCCTGCGCGTCTGGATCGAGGCGGAGGTGACGCGCTGGGCGGTACTGACACCGGCGGTAAAACGGACATTTAACCAAACTGTGACCTTTTCCCTCTTGCAATTTAACCTTCCCCTCACCCCCATCCTAATCTTAACCAGTTTGTGCATGCAAAGCTCTGATCGTTGACGTGCGCTCCAGACATCTGCGTCCTGAGCACCACCAAATCAGGTGTCACCACCTCAAAAACAAATTAAACACGCAATCGTTCATGTCGGCTCATTTCCTTTCATGTTTTCTGTCTGTTATTTGTGCCTGATGCATTTCGCTGCTGCGGAGCGAGGCGCATCACCTGTTGTCCTCCGGTGACGCACCCCCAAGATTCCACTATCTCCACTAAGCTCCGCTCCGGCACGAACTCCGCAGCAAAAACGGTCCCGTTGTAGTCGGCCGGCGAGCAGCGGCACTCCGCTGTTTTTGCGGTCGGTAGATCTTTTAGAACTGCAGTTCAAAGGTAACTCATAATGTGAATATATATGAACGCAGGTAGCAGTTTTTCTTTAGGATTGAGAGGAGATGCAGGAAGATAATAAACAGGACAGAAAAATAGTCAAATAAAAACAAGTTAGTTTTTGTACCTGCTGGTTGCAACAAACAGACACCACTGAAGGTAATCAGAGGTGAGGAACAGAAAATGAAATAATTATTTTAATGTTTAGAGCAGCAGGAACTCCGAGAGGCTGCAGGCGCATCAGTGAGTTTGCGGCTGCTGCGCAGGGGGAGGGGGGAGAGGACTGAAGTAGGATGCAGAAACTACCGTTGTTAAAAGAGATGTGTTAACTTAGAAAATGTGGGCGCAATTTTAATTGTCAAAAACTCCAGCGAACCTACCGACCGACCAACACCCCACCCCCCGCCGCTTCCGGCGTATGACGTCATCAACGACTAGTCGAAGTCGACTCGACTTTCATTACTTGACTGTCGACTTTAAAAAAAATAAAGTCGTGCAGGCCCTAATCTACGTATCAACTAGCTCTGTGCGACTCGTCTTCACTTGTCACCTCGAGTCTTCTGGTGCTGAGCTGTAACGGCAACAGTAGCTCAGTGGAGCTGTTTGCTTTCACACGTGGACTGCAGTACCCAAATACGACCACAAGATGTCATTCTTGCTTCATGCATCTATAACTGTTAATTTTTTATTGTTATTTTCCTGTTATAATGTTCAAATATTTACTCATTTTTTGTTTCAGTTCTGAACAAAAAGATAGCGGAGCTCGTCGAACCAGAAGCAAAGAGATCTCGTTCTCGGTCTCCTCGTGTCAGTGCAGACTTCAAACTGCCTCCATTCAGCCCTGATAAACCTCTCGGTAAGAAATGTAAAACAAACGAAGAGTGTATAGAATAAAATGAAGAATAGATGAAAATCAGCCGTTTTCTGACCTTTTTGCGCTCGTGTCTGTGCCGCTGTTCAGGTACGGAGTTTGTGAGTCGTAAATGGGGTTATTTCTGTAACCTCTGCTCCGTTTCCTACATGAGTGAGGGTGCTACCGGGGACCAGCACTGCAGAAGCCAGACTCACGCTGAAAACCTGCAGGTACTTGCTCAAAAACCCTCCAGCAAATAAGACTCGACATGCAAATACACCATCTTGGATTCTCATTTGTCTTTCTTTCACTTTTCAGAGATATCAGCAGGCGCTGGAACGAAAATCGAGAATATCGACACGAAAGACTTTTTGACTAATCGACTTGTTTTGTTGTTTATAATGTCAATCTACTTTCTGCCCTTTGCCTTCTTTTTTGTGTTTTCCACTGGAAAGACCATTTTCTGTGTTACAAAACGATATCACGTTGTTACTCGGAAGCTTTTGTCATCTTTGGAAATATTTTCTAAACTTGCACCTTCTATCTGACAGAACATTATCTTTTATTTAAACAGCAGAAAGTTATTTTTATTTTTTAATAATGTGATTTTACCAAAGATGTTTCTACAAAAATCTAAATATTATATTTTTGATTTACAACTTAAAATGAAAATAAGTTTCTGACAGTATTGATTGTTTTCTGAAACAAACTCTTGTTTACTGATTGAGCCATTTGGACTTGAGTTGGAGTGAATTTTTAATGGTCCTGCATGATGAGCGATTTCTGTTTGTTGTCTTAATAAAACAGTTGTTTGAGTATTGGTTGCTACTTGAAATAAAGATTTTCCTCAAACATTATTCTCCATGTGGATATATCATATTGTGACAACTAAACATTTACAGAAAATATGAAAAACTTTTTTTAAATACAGAATTCCAAAAATTCATACAAGAATCGGCCGCCAGCACAGAAAACACCTATTTGTTTTAGATCCAGCTGTAAAAAGATGTTTAAAAACATTGTGACATATTTCTTATACATTTTAATGACATTGACTTCAGGATCAAGATCACCATTCATTCATCCATCCACAGGAAGGGGATGAAAACAGGAAGTCTTTAATTGACAACCCATAACAGATATCCTCCTGAGACCCTGCGTCCACATGAGGACATTGGCTTCTTGCTCTGTAACAATTTATTCTCATCAACTTAGACCTTTGTTTTAATATTTAAAGACATTTAAGATTGACTTTTTCCTTTATTTTTGGGGAATCTGTCAATAATTTTATTTACTTTTACACTCACACAAATACAAATGGAGTCCCAGGAGGATTAAAAGTTACAAAAATATTTTATTTACCAGTTTAATTAGATGATTACATTAGATGGTGTGTAGACTAGGGGTTATCAGACCTGGGTCTGGAGGGCCGGTATCCATCAGGTTTTATTTTTAACTCCGTTTCAACACACCTGATTTCAGTCAGGCTTCTGCTGAGCCTGATCAGCTGCTGCACAGGTGATTCAGCCACTGAATCTAGTGTGTTGGAGCAGAGAAACCACTAAAACGTGCTGGCCCTCCAGGCCTAGAATATAAGGCCCCTGCTGTAGAAGCGGCCAGACCTGTACACCCCTTCTGCTTCCAACTCACATGCGAACCAAGCATGCTTTTATTTTGAAACAACAATCAAAACCGGAAGTTCCCTTAACTGGCTTACCTTAACACACCTGCTGATAGTTGAAGGCTAAATAGCGACAAACGTCAGCTGGCTGCCAAGTGTTGGTAGACAGGCCGAAAGCTAGACCACTACCGGCAGGTAATGGATTTGTTTAGTTAGAAATAGTTGTTGGTAAACTCAAAATTATGATTTCATTCTTAACTTTTTTTACAATGTTAACATATACCGTTATTTATGCGCACCATTTGACTGACAGCATATTAGAAAAACCGCCATTTCTCTTCGGGAATAAATTGTCCCGCTGTTGATTGAAAACAAAGTAGATTTTAAACCTATGTCGTGTTGACATGTGAGCAGTAATCCACCTGAATCTGTCTGAGTGGCTGAACCTAGTATTGGGGTTGAATGTTAACTCGGCCGGTTAAAGGAGAGGTCAGAGAAGAAGGCTGTTTTTTCATGTCACCATTGTGACTACAGCCATGTATAGAGGGTAGAGTCTAACCAAAAGATGCATTCATCTTCATGAAATAACTTATGGACTTGACAAAAGGATTTAAAGATTCGGGAGAAGGAAACACTTATTGCACTATACGTAAAATGTTATTAGATGTCAGTTTCAGAGCTTGTTGAAACACTTCTGTTATTTAGAACTGTGTTGGTGAGCGGGCAGATCGTAAGCTACCCACATGGGAAGGCCAAGATCTGTCAGTAATTGTGTTTTTTGTTTAACTTTTCAGTTTCTTTAATATTGGAGCTTTTCATCAAGTCTTCTGCTTTGGGGGGTCTCTAAAGAGCTTCTGTCACATGGAGGAAAAGCTTCACTAACTGAAGGTTTTGATGTAAATTGAAATCTCAACAGCCACCAGTTACCCCTGAGATGATGTCAGATCCTCAGGATTACTCGTGTACTCATAATCACCAAGAGAAATGCAAGCCAATCAAAGCTGAGCCAGAATGGGAAGCCGTTATGTTTCCCTCTCTTGAACCGCAGTTCAGCATGTCTGGTACGACATTCCAGCAGCTTTTTCACCTCCCAGTAAAACTCATACCCAATTGTCATGGAGACTCAGTTGAAGAGAACGTTGAGAAGTCTGTACATGCGTATTTGAGCAGAACCGGTGATGACGTGAGAACCCCTGTCAGCCAGGAAACTTGCTTTTTGCCAAGTCTCAAAGTTTCAAAGAACGCAGCTTCTCAAAGACAACACTCAAATGCTGACAGGGATTATTCTTCCAGGTTTTGTTTATCGTGTTTATTTGGAAATTATAGCTGGAATGAGACATTCCTCTTCAAAGAGTGCCAGTGCAAAACACAATCCTCGACAAGCTTGGCAGATGATAATGAGACCAAAGCAGGCCAATTTCTGTCTCCTAGATCCAGTTGCACTAAATATACTCCAGAACTGGCCACTGAGATTCTTCAGCGTTATGGGTTAGGAAGAGATGATATGGAGGACCTGCTGGCTTACCCTGAGGACCAGATTACTGCTGACAAGCTGCCTCACATCCTCCAACAAATCCGCATTGCAAAGGAAAAGAGAATGAACGAGAAGTCAGAAAGTTGCTCTAAACCTCAGCCCTGCACAAGCTCAGTTGGACGGGAGAATAGGACTGGGCCAGTAGAAAAGGTTTCATCACATATTCCTAAACCAAAAGGACCAAGGGGGAATCTAACACCAGAGGTTGTCAAGGATGCTGGAGAAACCATTCCAACTGGGGGAGCCATTGGCAATGAGACTCAAACCTGTGGATTTGCTGGCACTTATGCTAATGGATCCATTGGTCCTCTGACTAGGACTGGTGAAACCATAGGAATTGGGACTTGTACTGCTGGAACCATTGGCACTGGGGCTCACAGTGAAGGTTCGACATTAATGGACACTAACGGGAGCCGCTGTAAAGGACTGCAGCCCAGAAGCTCAAAAGAAGTGAAAAGCAGAAGTGGCCTGGTGTCTTCACATGACCAGGAAACCTGCACTGAAAGTCTCAGCTCAATCAAGAGCTCACTGGCTTTTTCAACCTGTGGTCCAGCTGATCGGGGACAGACTCAACCAAACCTGAATTTACAAAAAATCCTCAACTGTTTCCCTCAAGACATAGACGCAAAGTTTCCCAAGTTGGACGCTTCCACAGACCTCCTTTTGAAAGACATAAAACAACAAACCCATTCAACTCCTAAAGACCAAACACCGGGTACTGTTGCTCCTGGCCCATCTGTCTTGAACTCGGGTATTCCTAATATATATTCTGATCAGATTAAAACTCAAGAAAGGTTCAAATGTTGGACTAAGAAAAATCAGCAGTCTGTAGAGCAGCTGCACACGCAGCAGCTTGTGGGGGACTGGTACCAGACGCTGCAACACCTGAAGCCACTGGAATCACAGATGGAGAAAGGATTACTTCCACAGGGGTTTCCTGCTTTTAAACCAGCTTCTTCTTCATCCGTACAACCCACAATGGTTCCTCTTTCCCCTTGTCAGTCACCACAGCTTCCAAGAGGGTTGATCTCCCCTCCTGTGCCACAATCACATCACAGCAGACAGTCTTTAGCTACGGGGCCTGTCTTTATGGCTCTGCCACCACCTGCGATGATGGAAGACTATGCAGCCACCCCGCCAGAAAACTTTCCACACACCTGTTCCCTTTGCAACATACAGTGTGCCAAAATGAAGGCAAGTTAAGGATTTCCAAGGTTCTCTGCATGCCTTAAATTGGTTGTAAAACCAAGTGCAATCTTATTTGTAACCCCAATATCCAAGTGGCCATGTCATGCTATTTTAAACATTTGAGAGTAAAGATGGATAAAATCTTACCATTTGCTCTATTGAGATGTCATTTTATCTTAAATATGAGTTATTTTTGTCAGCCTGTCTTCGTACCCACAAATAAAACCGTTTCAGTCGGCTACGCCTCCAGTGGCCTGAGCTTCACAACAAATGATAAGAAAGCGTCCTTGCAAATGGCGCCGGTACTCCGTTCACGCTCACTGACAAAATGTGGGTATCTTGGACAATTCAGTCATTGTCTTGGGTTTGATGGTCTAACAGTTAAAGCGTCTGCCTTTCATCTTGTTTTGCCATGTCCTGACTTTGGTTCAAGTCCTTGTGTTGGCAGTAATTTAGCCACCTGAAGCTGATTTAAAATGTATTTTCTGTTTAAGATTTATTGATTATCTTCTGCAAAAAAAAATTGTCTAACGGTCTTTGAATTTGATTATTTCCAAGCAGCGGTTTGGTTGCAATGCTCTGGATGGGACACAGTTGTCTTAATGTTGAGCTCTGCTCACCTCACATGGACTCACGCTAGCTAAATAAACAAAAGTAAAAAGATCAGTCCTTTTTTTTTTAACAGTTGACCAATAAAGGGTTGAAAATGTAATACTAGAAAGTGTTGCTAAACAAAATAAGGTAAATTACATCTGTGACCGGGATTTGAACCAGTGTAAGGTCATAGCACAAAAGCATGCTAGGCAGGCGCTCTATCCGCTAACCCAGTGTTTCCCAACCCTGGTCCTCAGGACACACTGTCTTGCATGTTTTCCATGTCTCTGCTTCAGCACACGTGATTTACCTTGCCTCCTCAGCAGGACATCAAATGCTGCAGATGTCTGTTAATCATTCATGCATTTAAGTCAGGTGTGTGGCAGCAGGGAAACTGGTGTTTAAAAGGGCAACTTGGATAACATGCAAGACGGTGTGTGCTCAGGACCAGGGTTGGAGAGCACTGCGCTAACACACCAAACCTTTTACAGAAGTGCTGGCTGTTATGTGCGTCTTTGGACAGGATGCATGGTTTTTACGGTGGTGTTTAATTCCTGGTGCAGAAATAATTTGTCAGAATATCCATTCTGGGACCGGAGGAGGTTTAAAGCGGGAGTTAGTGATCTACATCCAGGGTAGGTGGGCTTCAGTGCGGAGACCAGCTTCATGGGGAGGAGAAAGGCCAGATGATGCACTTAGTTTCCATCTTTGTGTCTGCAGGTCCTACATCTAAATCTGAAAACTTGCAGCTGAAAAAGGAAAATGCATGAATGCAGCCAAAAATGGGGTTAGGGTATTTTTCATGAGGAAATCAGTATCGCATGGTAAACTCCCAACAACTAGATGGCCTCTTTAAAACTTAATTCTTATTTCTCTGGAGCAGTTAAAGACATGGAAATTTTCTTTTCAGACAGAAATTAAATTGGTGCTGAAATTGATGACATTTGCTATCATACTTCTTGCCACCCCCCCCCCCCCCCCCCCCCCAAATGTTTCTTTTTGCTTTTAGGACTGGATTCTCCACCAGAACACGAGCGTTCATCTTGAGCACTGCAAACTTCTCCGCAAACGGTCGGTTTTCTTTTTCCCCATTATCTTTAATCTCATGAATACAGTGTGGCAAAAGTATTTAGTCAGCCTCTAGTTGTGCAAGTTCTCCCACTTAAAAAGATGAGAGGCCTGTAATTTTCATCCTAGGTTCACCTCAACTGAGAGACTGAATGGGAAAAAAATAACACAAAACCACTGTTGGATTTTTAAACAATGTATTTGCAAATTATGGTGAAAAATTAGTATTTGATCAATAACAAAATTCCATCACAATACTTTGTCATTTCCAACAAAGAGTACAAAACAGAGGTCAAATGTCTTCTGTTAGTCTTCACAAGGTTTTCACACTGTTGCTGGTATTTTGGCCGCTTTTGCGTAGAGTCATTGTCTTTTTTTTTTATATAGATTTAAAGGGACATTACAGAGTTTTGAATTTTTATGCTCGCGATTGCCCCCTTGTGAAGCGTAACGGCAGCTTCAATAGTAGGCTCGTGCACGAGGCGCGCATGCTGTACGTGCACACTCCTTAACGAAAATAACAGCTGAGACAGTCCCGTGTGTGTGTGTGTGTGTGTGTGTGTGTGGGTGGGTGGCCCGGAGGACAGAGGACAGAGGACAGGAGAACGCGCAGCTAATTAATTAAATAATGTGGTTCTGTACCTTTCTCTTCAGCACAGCCGACAAAGGTTTAAGATGCGTCAGTCCTCCTGCATGCTCAGATCATTCCCTTCCCTTAACAGAAGAGTTAATTAGATAAATGCAAGCTAAAATTCACACATTGTTTTGAGAGCCTTTTAGTTAGTCTGTTACTGATTTCAACACTTGGTTAAAAATGGGAAGTGATTTTGCTTATGGCGTTGCTTTAGTCTGCCGTTGGCAGACGCAGGTCCCAGAACCAGAGCACCCTGTGGGTCTTTAGCTTCTGCAGGAACACCTTACACTGAACTAACTTTTTACAGTGTAGTGTTTATTATAATCAGTCATTAGTAAATATTATGTTGGTGTGACTTCTGTCATCTGATTACAGCGCTCTCTATTTGTGTTTGCTTCTGACTTAATGCAGAAATGTTTTTGAATATGTTTCTGTTTTCTACAGGTACTCAAAATGGGATGGTAACATATCTCCATCCCTCAGGTACATTTCTGTTTTCACATAAAAACAATTTAGTTCTGAGAGTTCTTTAAGTTTAGTCACTTATTTTTCCCATTTGTTGTAGTTTCCCTGATAAACATACCAAGCAGGTTCCACCAGCGACTGCACAGCACTTCCAGCATCAGCACCGGAAATTCAGGTCCGACGGCTGCTTCAGATCCAGTTCAAACGTCCTGCATCACCACCGCAGGCCAGAGTACAGAAAGGACCGTTCCAGCAGCAGCTCTCGGTCAGTAAGTCCTTTAGATTACCACGACTCAGAGGGCAGAAGAAGAAAAGGCCGAAGCAGATCAGGAGGGTCGCAGAGCTCCAGGTACAACTGCAGGTCTGTGAATCCTTCAGTATGCTGCTCTATAGTTGGGTTTATTTTTTATCCTTTATAATTTGATGATGTTTATAATAATTAGGTGTTAAAATATTGGTTTGTATTTCCACAGGTCACGGTCTCGTTCTCCTTCTTTGTGGTACGATCAGCGTTATCGATCCCGCTCAAGGAGTCGGGAGAGACCACCGTCACCCAGAAGGAAGAAGAATCATTCATCTAAGAGGAGAAGCAGGAGATCTTCAGCTCACAGGGCTTCGGATAAAAGAAGGAAGTCGAGCAAAGCCAAGAGGCTGACGAAAAAATTGCTGAAATCACCTGGTAGGGAATGTTTTCCAGCTACGTTTTTAGCAACGTAATTAATCAACCTGTTGAATTCTAATATAAAACTTAAACCACAGCCTCAGCTTTCTCCTCATTAGATGAATCCTAAAGGCAGGTTGTAACGACGTTTTCTTTCTTCCAGCTCTCCAGTCTCTGTTGGAGCAGCCTAAACTCAAAGCTGTGGTGAAAACGTTGGTTCCTGTTCTTCTGTCAGAGCTGAAGAAGATGAAGACCTTGGCTGCCTCTCCAGCTCCTAGTGCAACGTTTTTCAGATCAGAGTCTAACCTTCAGAGAAGTGAGTCCATTTCTACAAACCCTCAGGTTGGTGCATCGTTTATCTTCTTGTGCCACTAAAACACCAATTCCCAGCACTGGAAGTAATGTAGTTCTAAACAGAAGTTTCCCCTACCTGTAGTTTGTGTAGTTTTGATGCATTTGAAGGCCAAACTTCTGCTTCCTATAATTAATGTGGTCTCACAAATGCAACTTTTTCCCACAGAAAACTTACAAGGCAATAATTTATACTAGACGCCAAAACAGATTTAAAAAAGGTGATGGAGACGTTATACTAAGTCAATACAAGTAAAAATGTTTTATTTTTTTTTTTTAGGATTCAAGTTTTGGACCTCCTTCTCTCACTTCTAGTACAAAGCCACTGCAGTAAGTCATCTAACCTCTATTTGTTTTAGTCTGTGTTTTACTCTAATATTAATTCAGCTCATGTTCTTCTTGCATCATAGGAAACTTGGTAATCTTATTTTATATGAATTTTTCCTAGGCATGCTATGTCTTTTAAAATAGTAGAACAAAGAAATGGTCCAAACACACTTGCTTCCAAAATATTCTTGAATAACACACTCCGACAGCTAGGTGGCAGCAGTTTTTACCTCCGTCGTTAACGGACCGAGATCTCATGATAACCCCCAATGTGTCTTAGAAGTGTCTGACCTGAGTTTTCCCATGAAATTCAGTCTTAAATATTACAAATCCCTGGTTTATATATTATATGGTAATGCCTCCCCTGTATAATTGTCATATATATCGTATCGCCAGATTATCAATAGTTGTAATAATCTTGCTAAATTCAATTATTACGCCTTCAAAGGAACAAACTGCTGCATAATTCTCTTTAATCACATTCTATTGTCTTTATTCTCCGTTTTCAGCTTGACCTCCTGTAACTTTCTTGCACGCAGAAAATCTGTTGCGTCGCTTATTGTTTCACCACACACCGCCGAGTCATCTCAGCGTCCTGTAAAAAGATTTTTACCAAAAACCGTGAAAAGGATGACAACAAGCACACTTGTTTCAAAAGCAAAGATCTTGGTTTCCAAAGCAAAAGAAGTCTCAGGGAAGCGGGTTTTAAAAAAGACTTTTACAACGGGCACCAAAGATGGAACAGGATCTGCTAAAGACATGGAATTAAGAGAGGAAGTGTCAAAACTCCCAAGATCTAAGAAGTCCAAATGTCCTGCAAAACATTCTGGTACTGGTGACTCAAAACAAGGAGCAACACATAAAAACATGGAGACGAACACTGAAGAATCCTCAAATGGACCAATCATGGTTGGAAAACCTTCAGATACAATCATGATTAACTCAATCAGAGTCAAAAGTCTTTGCACAGAAGTAAAGGTCTTTCCTTCTGAAGCTGAACTAGCTTCAGACATTCATCTGGACAGATTTCAGACAGCAGGAGATGTTAAAGATGAAGTGGAAGAAAAGACCTTAAAGGTCTTGAATCCAACGGTAAAATCTCAGCCTGATGCTGCTATGTGGAACAGAGCTCAGAGCTCAGAAGAACAAGAGCTGCTCTCTGAAGACAAATCTGAGGGTTTTAAAACCAACTCGGCAGAAGGAAAACTGGATGATCTTGACAAAGTAGATGTTCACATGAAGAATGAAGTAGAAACTTCCAAACCAAGAGAGACTGAAGCTGTAGATGTGGACAAAGGTCCTGCTGAGGTCAAGGGATGCAAACTGATGGAGACAAAGATGTCACAAGATCCAACCAGTGAGAACGATCCAACTCCGATGCAACAAACACCCTCCATTACAGCTCCAGGGATGGTGGTGAAAGCCTCACCGCAGGAAAACAACATCCTGGATTCAGAGTCATCCAGACCGCAGCTGAAGACCAGCGCTGAGGGTGTAGAAGAACAGGACCAGACTCTGGGATGGGTGGATAACGGTATGTTTATGTAGTTTTCTGATTAATGTTTTGTCAAAGCGTTTAATTTGTTGGTTGTCATCAGTTTTTGGAGAGCATTTCAAGCTATATGGCAGAAAAACACCCAACATTAGGCCTTTAATTAGGAACCAGAACAACTCCTTAACTAAATGATTTAAACTTCTGAGCTATGTTGCATTAAGTAGTTTTCAAAATTAGGAAGTCTTGTGAAGCACTTTGTGACCCAGTCTGTGAAAGTACTATATAAACAAACTTCTTCTATTTGTCTGTAGTGAGGACTCAAAAGAAAAATGCTTCTAAAGTCGACAATGTTTCAAGTATGGCGACTGAGATGGCTCCATCGACCAGCTCTGGGCTTTCAGCTGCTGTTAGCTCGCTGACTGTTGGAGAGAAAATGGAAACTCTATTACATCCAGAAAAGATCCGTAAGAAAAGCCCTGAATGTTTCTGTAAATGTTCTGCTGCGTACTTTAAGCTGAGTTTGACTCTCCTCTGCAGCCTGCTTCAACAAGAAAACCGTCATGTCATCAAAGGTGAGTTTTCTTACTTTATCAACTGTAGAAAGATTTTCATCCTAAATCTGGCATCTTCAAAGTAAACTGCTGCAAGTAAAAATCTGTGTTTACCATACCACACCACTTAATTTATGCAGCACATTTAAACTACAGCATGAGCGCTGACTGACCAAAAGCTGCACAGGCAGGATCATTAGACCAAAAAACCCCAACGTGAGTAAAACTGTCAATGTAAGGCAGTAAAAGCTAATAAAAGCCGCAAAAACAATAAGAACAAGAAAAAAAAACAGTAAAAACAAACAAGTCACCGGTGGCCAAGCAATGAAAGTAGCCCTTTAAATGAGATTTAAAAACAGCCAGAGAGGATGCCTGCTTACCTGTAAGGGGAGGTGAATTTCAGAGCATAATGGCAGCATAGAAGAACGCTTGTTCACCCCGTGATTTGTTGGACACCAGGGGAGTGCAGCGTAGCAGGAGAACAGCTGACCTCAATGTGTGCGTGGGTACATAGGGGGTGAGCAGGTGGGACAGATGAGGAGATGCTAAGTCATGTAAGGCTTTAAACTCCAAAGTCAATAACTTAAACCATACACAGAATGTAACGGGGAGCCAATGGAGATGTGTCAGGACCGGGGTGATATGGCTACGTTGGTTTGTGTTCGATAAAAACCTAGCAGCTGCGTTCTGGCCAGTCTGCAGCCAGTTCAGCACTGAAACAGGAGCAACCAACAAGGAGTGTGTTTGCTATTGTTGGTGAAGTTTACCCATGGTTGGTGTAGTTTACCCATGGTTGGTGTAGTTTACCCATGGTTGGTGTAGTTTACCCAAATAATTGACACAATAGAAGAGGTATACATTATGCTTTGTCCAAAGAATGCCTTTTACTGTTTTTATTAACTTTTTGACATTTAAAAGTGTTAAATTTCCTGTCTGGTTACTGGGCTGTAACAGAAAACCCTGTTGTCGTTACAGTTTTAGGTCTTAACGAAGGTTGTGAGTTTTAAATCTGATGTTACACAAAACCCAAAAACCCATCCGAGTCAACGTCTTACAAATTTTTAACGCATCTAAGCCACCAAACACCTGTTTTAATAAGTCCTTATTTTATTTTTTCTCATGTAAATAAAATTAGTGACATTAGGCAACCAAATGGGTATTTACGTGGTTATAGTCTTTGGGCGAGCAGGGGTATAAGAAAATATTGATGTATAGACATATTTGACATGTTCTGATTTTATACTTAATTGATATTTAAAACTGTACATCAATTTTTAAAATCAACATTACATGCACATATTTACAATATTTCTATAGTGTGGTGCAATTCACACTCTGACTGCTAGGTGGCAGCAGATTTTACCGCCTTTATTCTGATGACTCTCAATGAGTCTTGGAAGCATCTGACCCGAGTCTTAAAAATGAGAAACATCATCTGACTTTTAATTTCACAATGTATTGTATCGTCTCACCTGTATTGTAATATATATGGTCTTGCCAGGTTCTTACCAACACACACACACACACACACACACACACCTATGGCTGAGGGTTAAATTAGAATGAAGGTAAATGACCTAAAGATGCTGGCAGGTAATGATAAACAACTTGTTTCCAGCTCTCTTCCCTCAATGCGACAGCTTTGTTGGTAACAAACCTACCAGAGTATCATGATGGCTGCTACTGCGAGGACGATGTTGCCAACCTGCTTTGTCCTTTTGGATTTATCTACAAGGGCAACAACATTTACATTCTTCCCCAGAAGCGCATGGTAGGGCCCAGATAATTCATCAGGCTGGGGGTGGTACTTTTCTGGTTTTAGCTGGTTTCTTTTTAAATTCATGACCGTACACTTCACATTTATTTTTTGGGCGTATTCACTAATTGGAACTTTCTCCATATTAAATGCCTGGTATGTTTTCTAAGTATTAAAGCTATTTAGATAATGCGTTTTACCTTGAGTTACTAATTTTTGTTATTTCTTGCAGGCCTTTGCGCTGATGTATCATGTGGGAAACATCCAAAAAATCGTCAAACATTTTGACAGAAATGATGTTTTTCTCAGAGGCTCAAAAGTCTCTTTGAATGTCGTGAGCAGCAAAATTTCAACGATGCCAGTAAGTATTTATAACATGGCAACATTTACCATAGCGTTCCCTCAACTGAAAAAGATATACTAAAATAAAACAAACGTATCATCAGAGACTTGAGTTTATCACTTTGGACCTTTAAATGAAACGGGAGTCGTTTAATCCCAGACCTAAGGTCTGAAAGGGTACAAATGGCAGCACACCGCTCCTCAGGGAGGGGTCAGGGGTCAAATGTAAAGAAATATGATGGGGTCAATGAAGTATCAATTACTGTATTTTATAACAAAAAACTGCTGCTGTTGAGAGGAACTGTTCTTTTTGGTCCCAAAAACTAGATTTGTGTTTTTAATGTGTTTATGTTGCTTCTGACCTCATCCAAAGCCTTTTGTCATGTTTAACTATGCTTTTTGTTTCAGTTTGAGTTTTATTCATACCTGATGAAGATGATGCGTTATGTAAGTTCTTCTCATAATAATTTCTGTTTCCTGGTTGGAAAAACTCTCTCAGCCCTGAATACTGTGGCTAAATTATGGATAGAAACACATTAAAGTGAAAAAAAAACCTTCAGGTGATAAAACTGAAGTAAAGCAGCTTTTGCTGTTCAAGCAGAAAGTGAAGGACGATGGAAGCAACACGGTCTTGATTCACAACATCTTACCGAGTGAAGCCAAAGATCTGAGGGAAACGCTTAAAAAAATCTGTCTCATAAGAAACTACCTGCCTCTTCTCAACAAGGTACAGCCTTCCTCTAGTGTACTCTTGTTTAAAAGAAGCATCTTGTTTGATTGTTCTTGACTTTGTGTTTCAGGTGTTTGTCCAGTTTAGGTCTGCACGTGATGCTGATCTGCTTGGAGTTTGGTACAGCGTACTGAATCCTACTGACCACCATGTCTACAGACTGAAAATACCACAGAGCTTCAGGACGTCACGACGTCAGTCTCTTGAGATCTTTTTTGTTGGATGTTTCTATGGTTACTAAAGTAGATTTACAAGCATTTCATGAGTTTCAAAGGCCTTTAATCACAATTTAATTTTAGGAGTTCCTCTTGGAAGATGTTTCGGTACCATTCTTTATTTGTGAGGGTAAACGTGACTATGTCCGCTCCCTTGGCCGAGAAGCATGCTGGCATACATGAATGTTCTCCGTATGCTTTACTGTTGGCAGGACACAGGACTGATTTTTACACATGGCCAGCTCCGTCTGGCCCCGATAGTCTTTGTTTTTACACTGGCATCCGTGCGGAGCTGAACACTTGTTGCGGTCCTGTTTCGTGCTGAGCTGACCATACACACCAACCTATGGACTGACTGACTGCTCGGCTGAAGTTATGTCACACTCATGCCTACCTACTAGTGAGGGCCTCTAGTTGGTTCAGGGAAATCAGCCAGTTGCAGCTTCCTGCTTGCACAATTCATTCCGTCTGGACGTAGTGGGCTAAACATCTTCACCGACTGCAGCTCAGACCTACAGAACATTTTTGGTGCTTTTTATTGGGACATGAGCTGCAGATGCTTTCAAACCTGTTTGATGCCATTCTAGAGCAAGTTCTGCTCTGATGATGCTGCGGTCCTACAGTGGGGTCCTCCTGGTGCTAGTTGGCTCATTTGGGGCCCTGAAACAGTAAAATAGAAAGTGGCTTTTTGTGAGAAGCTTTGACTAATTAAGGGAACAAACCTTGTGACAATGTTTGTGTCCTTTCAGCAGTAACTTATTTGTTTCTGCAGCATCAAAACGTCCAGCGACAGCTTTTACAGACCTGGGCATTGAGGCATCAGTCATCCCAACAGCGAAGTGTGGTGTTGCACGAAGTAGTTCACCATTCTGGATCACTATGAGAACAAGACCTTTTGTGTTTCCCACCTTCTCGCCTTGGTTCAACATCCCAAGTAAGAAAAACATGGAGACATGAGCTCACATTAAAGGATTTATTTTACGTGATTGTTTGATTCACAGATTATCACACGGCCTGGGGATTAGTGGATATTAAGGTAATACAATTTACTAACATCTAATTATTTTGTTATTTAACGAGCCAAAACTACTGATTACCCCGCCTCTCCACCCTCTGAGTTGTTGGCCTCTATTGAGAGGAAGTTGTGTTGATTGGACACAGGAAGGTGTGACCTAGACTGAAACTGCTTAGTAACCCCAAAATTCCACTACCTCCGCTCCGGTCCGCCCCCGCTCGCTTCCAAACTCAATTTTTACTGGTACCCGCTCTACAACGGCTCCGCTCCGGTGCGGAGACCTGAGGGGGGCAAACAGGCATGCGCTGGATTTTCGAGATCTTGCGATACAGTCCGAGCAATAAACGCGGAAGTTAGATCCAAACACCCGTTGTGTGGGAGAAGCATCGAAATTAACTGTTAAATCAGCCCATCATTTGTGTTGAGACATCAGCAGTGTTTGGATCAACAAAGGGTGACTACTTTGATAGTGGAAACTGTATTTATGGCTTATTTTTGTGCATTTAAAGCTCAGCTGCCATTGATACTTGTTAAAAGTTGTTAAACCTGTGCATATGAAACAAAAAATGCCGTTTGTTTATCGATTTATTGTGAAATAACGGAAGTTGTGCTTGCTCCCTTTCCTGTTGGGCGGTTGTGATTTCTGTCCATTGACTGCGGAGGTGCTCCGGCGTCCGGCGAAAATAGAATCGATCCTATTTTTCCCGGATGGCGGGCGGCGCACAGCCGCAGTAGTGAAACAGCTCTGATTGACTACAACGGGACCGATTTTGCTGCGGAGTTCGTGCCGGAGCAGAGCGGAGGTAGTGGAATTTTGGGGTAATGAGATTCAAAGCTGCCTTATAGGTACTGGAAAGGTTAAATCTAAGCCCCCACCACTATTTAAGGTGGGGGTTTTCATGTTTGACATAGAAAACTTATTTTACTCCTCTTAAACCATCCATCTTCTCTCTCCACAATGTGTACTTTGTCATCTTCAAAAAGTGTCCCTTGTCATTCAGGTGTAGGTGGACTGCAGAGTCTTGACCTAAAGAGGTGGCTCTCCTGTGTTGTGCCATGTGATTGTGTAACTGTTGTGTGTAAAAGTGTGTTTACATGAAGCTCTTTCAGCAGCAGAGTGCAGCACACCTCCTGTGTGAAGCGCCTCGTGTTTTTTATCTTGAGAGGCGCTATAGAAATAATATTTTCTTTTCTTCTGTGTGGTGAAACCCTGATTCTTCTGAACTGATAAACAAGTGACTTCATGAAGGAATGTTTACAGGATGTGTGTTTTGTAGGAAGCTGGTCCTCTGGGCTCTGAGTTCTCCACCGTCATGCTAACTGGTTTACCACAAGAACACTACACACACGAGGACATCGCCAAGTTAGTGTGGTGTTACTTCCCCAATCAGACCCTCCACACTCTGTACTACAACGTGATTGTCCTTCCACTACAGAGGAGGGTGAGGAGCAGCCCTGCTGATCCAAACCCGGCCACTCGCGTTCATCCAGCTGTAACTCTTCTGTCTCCTCCAGGCGTTTGTGTTCTTCAGCAGCTGGAACGCCTGCTGTGATTTTGTCCTAAACTATATAGAAAATCCGGTTTGTGTCGGAGGCTGCGAGCTGATCGTTCACTTTGTTTTAGAGGACATTCAGCCGGGATTCAGCGAGGTGAGAAAACCTCTGACCTTGCTTATTATGTTTACCTTTGTAGGGAAAAGTATAATCAACTCACTCAGGTTCTAGTTTAATAATCACTTTGTGTATTAGCCTCTACACGTGAGTACATTACAGCCATTGTTGGTGACTGAAGTCGTTATTTGATACATTTTTCCTCAGAATTAATTAAAGATAAAGTTGTGACCTCAGGATTTAGAGTCTGACCTACCTGCGACCTCTGAAGGCACACCAACCCTCTGTAATGTGTTTTTAGGAGACGATGTACAGATCTGTGATGAAATGGAGCAACAGCGTAAGTCTTCCAGTCCCGATTTAAATCTGAAGCGAAGCCGCAGCTTCCAACACCGTCTGGTTGTTTCCAGCCCGTTTCAGATCTACGGGTTCTGGAGGAGCGGCTGCTGTGTGTGGAGGTCTCTGAAGCGTCCGCTCACATCGTCATGATGGTCATGAAGGAAGTGGCTTTGGTCTCTCCTTTTGTCAACTTCCTGTCGCTCGCTAACAGGGTAAAAACATCTGGATTGGTCAGATTATATATTTATGTTGGATTTTATTTCTCTTTCACTTCATCAAATCTCACATTTGTATGAAGATCACAACATGCCCTAAAGGTTATAAGTAAGTAAGTAAAGTTTATTTATATAGCGCCTTTCACAGATATAAATCACAAAGCGCTGTACAACATGAGTAAAATCAGGGCAAATACCTCAAACCAATAAAAACATCATAAAAACAATAGTAGTGGCAATAATAGTAACCAAAATCAGGAGTAAAAACAAAGTCAAGGTGTGAACAAGAACAAAGTCATCTTTTAGAATATTTAGCGGGGGAAAGCCTGGATGAAAAGGTGAGTTTTAAGATGTTTTTTGAAGACCTCTACAGATTTCAAGAGACGGAGATTTGAAGGCAGACTGTTCCAAAGTCTGGGGGCAATAGACTGAAAGGCCCTGTCCGCTTTGGTTTTTAGTCTGGTTCGAGGAACAGCCAGGAGGTTTTCAGATGTGGATCGGAGGTTCCGTGAAGTGGTGTGTGGGGATAAAAGCTCAGATAGGTAGCTTGGAGCCTGGTTGTTAAGAGCTCTATAGGTCAGGACTAAAACTTTAAACTGTATTCTATATTCTACCGGGAGCCAGTGGAGGGACTGTAAAACTGGAGTGATGTGAGCTCGTCTGCTGGATTTGGTTAGGAGTCTGGCTGCTGCATTTTGGGTGGCTTGAAGGCGTGAGAGGGAGGTTTTGCTGAGACCAGTAAAAAGAGCGTTACAATAGTCTAAGCGTGATGACACAAAGGCATGGATTATTTTTTCCAGATCTGCAGTAGAAACCAGTTTACGGACTTTTGAAATGTTTCTCAGTTGGAAGAAACAAGATCGGGAGATGGTTTTGACGTGCGAGTCTACACTTAAAACCGGAACTCCCAGGTTTCTAATGTTGGCCTTGGCTGATGGGCAAAAAGTAAAAAAAAATTGTAATTCGCTTTGTATAAAAGCGTCTGCCAAATAAACACATGAACACAAAAACGTTGGTCCTTCGGTTCAGGTTAAACGAGGTTTAGTAATGTTATTTGGACAGGCGTCCAACTTTCTAATGATTACATTTGCCCCGTAGGTGTTCACTAAAACCTCCAGAAAGACGATAGATGGGTTTTAATGTTTTTGTTTGACTTCCTTCACTTCTCTTCCTGCTTCAGATAGTCATAGAAATGTCTGATTCCAGCGGAGTAGCAGAAGCAGTTGAGAAGGTCCCACAGGGCGGGTCATCCCAGCATGAACTTTGGTGAGTTTGTGTTTATATCAACACTAAACCACCTGGTTAAAGTTGACTGCTTGTAAAGGATATGATGAAAGTCTGACGGTCCTCTTCTCTCATGCAGGAGCAGAGTGAAGCGTATCGAGGCGTGAGTGTCTGATTTCCTCTTGTTTGTTATAACAAGTGAGGACGAGTATTTTGAGTGTGTTTCATGACAGATGTAGGAGCCCCGGTGTGACTCGTTAAATATGTAGACAAACACTTCCCAAAATGTTTGTGACCTACAACAAAATCATAGCCTAGAAGTCTAGAAACCCAAGCAGACTGAAAAGATTTTGCTCAGCAGGTTGGTCTAGCCACACTCCATTGTAGTCTCAGCAGGTCTACCTTTGGCTCGGCTCAGTTTGTAGAGAGGCGTTGGGTGGGCTTAGCGCCAGACCCACAATGGAGAAAAACAACTAATGGTGGCGGCTGAGGAGGAGCGCTTGTTTGAAATGGTTTTGGCTTCAACTTAGGATCATTTAGAATTGGGATTTTCTGTGGGACACAAGTTGATCAGCGCTATGCTTCGTCAGTCACTCCTCCTCAGCTCCTCGTCCTCGCGGTCATGCAGAATTATTTTAAAAAAAGCATATAAGTCATTAGATGGCTATAACTTGTTTGTTTCTGGACATGTAGGGCAGATATTTTTCATCTGTCACGAGACTTGTCTGCCACGATGTGGGTGGTTTATGCACTAGAATCGGCGGTTTACCACTGCCTTAGATGTATTTTATCAGCTGGAAACCTGTGAAATGTAACTCTACTGTCCTTTCGTTGTGCAGCCTACAGCTCTACGTGTGTTAACCATGCTGATGGATTTAATTTAGCCGCCATTTAACTCTGTTTACTGACAGCAACCAGATACACAACTGTGGTCACTGGGGAAGTGCTGCTTTCTTGACCTCCAACCTAGGGCTGGGGGGCGGGGATGTGACGTCATGCTTCAGTGAGTATAGAGAGCCTAAGTCTCCTCCCTTTCGGTTGGCTCATGGATCCCCGGAAGAACGAAAAAAATGAATGCAAGTCAACGGGGCTAAAAACGCTATTTTCTAACCTGCTTTGCCTTACACCCCGGATCACTCATATGTTGCACTGCAGTTTAAATGAAAAGTAACAATGGGTGTTTCGACCACGCCAGTCACGTACTTTGAGATTTATCAGCTTGTAAAAGTTTGTAATTAGCATGACTACACACTAGAAATCGGCACGTCTCATATGTGACGTCACCACTCTCCCTAGCGACTTACCAAATGACCAGATTTATGGTGGTTCTTTCCCCCTGTGGAAAGTTTGCTGAACTTGCAGCCCTTTTCCCTCAGTTTTTCTCCGTGTCTGGTTCGATGACGTCTCTTTCGTGAAGCGCATTTGTAGTCCTGGACGTATTTTCATACAAAACCTAAAATATTGTTTACCCCTGTTCGAAAATAAGCGCTTTCTTGGTATCAAAATGTGTCTTTAAAATTCACGGACATCATATGGATTCCATGGAACATAACAAGCAGAACTAGAAAATAGCGTTTTTAGCCCCATTGGCTTGCATTCTTTTTTCGTTCTTCCAGGGACCCGTGGTCCGGAAGTAGATGGGCGTTACCTAGGCTCCCTATAGCAGCGCTAGCCACCCGTCCATGTTTATCTCACATGATGGCCCTGGTGAAATATTAGTTAATAGATGTAATATTTTTCATCACTGAGCAGCACATTTGGGCATTTACTACATCTGACTTTTGTTTTGACAACAGAGTTGATGCTTTATCTAATTTTTTCTTTCCTACTTCTGAGAAGTAACCTAAAAAACAAAGTCCGTATCTGGTTTAGCTGTAAATGTTCTGAGTCTAAAACGATTCTAATGGAAGTAGAGACGCAGATTTTTTTTTACTTGGCTATTAAACAAGTTTGTATTGCTTGGCTAATTTGGCTTGGAGTGGAGAATGCACCAGTGTAACAAGGGCTGTGTTCCATTTACATTTGCAGCTGCAGAAGTGGAATGCAGCCCTAAATGCTATTTTCTGTTCAGCATCTTTTTGATTTATTTCTGCTCCTGATTTCAGTTCAAAGAGCCTCACACGGCGTCTAGAAGGTCAGAGTGAGATGGTGAAGCTTAAGCCTAACCTCGTCCGCACCAGACCAGCTTCTGTGAAACGGGATGAGATGGTTTGGAAGCCCAAGCCGCGTGCTGCTAAAACAGCTGCTTTATCTAAAATCTGTGTTTCTGGATCGAGTTCCACAGAAATCTCAAACATCGTCCCTGATCAGACCTTCTGGTGTCAGCAGAAGGAGGCAGGTCCTTCTGAAGGACCTCAGAGTTCAGTCACAGCTGAAAGGAGCCTATGTTCACCAGAAGCTCCTGAGATGACCAGAGAGACTCTTAAGTTCAGCACAGGAAATGGAAAATTCCCAGAATGCATTTCTGAGTCAACAGGTGGATCCATCTGTGATGTTCCCATTTTTAAGAGGTTGGATGTAACCAACCAGAGCACGAGTCTGGAGACGGAGTGTGAAGGTAAAAGGATCAAAGAGGTGAAGACAAGTAAAGAGGAAGATGATGGTGAAAAGGAAGAAATCTTTCATTTAGTTGAGTTTGTTGATCAAAAGGATAAAGATGGCGGCTCTGGAACACCTGGACCTGATGGAGACCGTGTCTTGCATCAGGGAGGTCCACACCATGATGATCATGGTTCTTCAGGAGAAACAACTCGAGTTAAAGCTACTATAAACCTGATGTCACATGAAGAAGAGACCTTGTTTAAAGATGGTTCTGTTCAACAGGCTTCAGCCACACAAAGCGGACGATGTGGAGAAGAGATGAGATCCAGTTCCCCAGAAGAACCTGATGAGCAGCATGAAACTGTAACCTATGTGGAAAACCAAGAGACCATTAAAACATCCACCTGTGGAACTAGAGAGGAGACCTCAGATGACCTGAAAGAGGAGAAAACTCCACAACCAGAAGATCAGGAAGATGGAGTACCAACAGAGAAGTGGACAGGAGCATCACATAGTGATGAAGAGGACAATGACCTGAGAGACGCATCAGAATCTGATGTTCAGGTTGTGGATTCTCTAGATCAGGTTAAAGATGGTCCATCTGAGACCAGTCCACCAGCAACAGATGAAAACCAGTCTTCAAACGGGGTGGAGCAGAAGCCACCAGAGACAAACGACACAACAGCTATAAAATATGTTCCTTTGATCCTGATGGATGTGACTGATGAGGAAGACTACCTCAGCGAGGAAGAACATGTGAGAGAAATGGCTCCCGAAGAGGAGCTGATAGGAGGGAGGAAAAATGAGGAGACAGAAGGTTGGGCGATGGAGACTCTGGGCGAAACCACAGAGGGTTCAAAATGTCGGCAAGGGCTGGAGGAGCCTGATGAAGAGGAAGGTTCTTGGCTACAGTCTGAGTTTGCTGATGAGGAGAAACCAGATGGATGTTTGGAGAGAGGACGCCGCAGGATGAAGTCAAAAGGTACAAGATGTTTGATCAGATCCTCAAGATTTACATTCACATGACAGAAGAGACGTTCATGCTGCTGCAGTCAGACTAGTGTTGGAGTCTAAAGGAGGGTCTAGGTGTGTTTAATCGTTTTCATGTAACCATGGCAACATCCCCTCATTACTAGACATTTATTTCTAATATTGAATGTTGTGTTGTAGATGAGAACTTCTGACAACCTCACTCCACAGTCAGGTGTGTTCTGACCCAGACCTCGTCTCTTTCAGTCCCAGCTGATCACCGGGCTGGCTCTGTCGGACCCATGGCCAAGCGTTTCTGCTCTCAGCCTCCAGATGTCCACAGGACTCCGATCCCGTCCAGCTGCAGACGTCCTCTAGGTGAGAAAAAAAAAACCTCCAGCCTGACAACGCTAGCTCCAGATTCAGGTGTTTGTGTTGGTGTTTATCCTCAGGTGAGGAGTTTGTGGAGCGGAAGCGGGGCTTCTTCTGTTCCCTCTGCTCAGTCTTCTACCTGAACAGGAGCAAAACGAAGGACGAGCACTGCTGCAGCCGAGCGCATTACGACAACCTGAAGGTCTGCAGGAACGAGGTAGATTCAGGTCCTAAACACACTTCCTGCTTCACCGTGTGTTTGGTTTTCAGATGTACCTCCAGAAGCATCAGCTGAAGCTTTCAGGATCAACAGAGTCGTGGGTCTGAGGGTCTTCAGCTGAAGAACGTCTCAGAGGTGTTGTCTGCATGACCGTGGAGCATTGGGTTTGAATGTGATTGCTTTGGTTTAACCCTTCTCATTGTGAAGGTCCCTGCTGTGATTGGTTGGAGCAGGACCATGTGACCTCTGGAGGTCTGATTCTTTAGGTTCTGGTTCTGGAGTCCAGAACATGAACAGCTTCTGCTCTGGCTCCAGAAGGTCAGATGTTTCATCTTAGAATTAAAAGAAAATGAGCTGATGGGAAATGAGTTTATAGCAAGAAAACTGGGTTTCTTTATTTAATGTTGTAAAAAAAAATGTACGATCTTAAGTTTGGATTAAAATCCTGTGAAGAGATGATCATGAAGTTATGTTGTGTGTGTCTAGACTGTTTATACATCAACGGTCCATCGTGTAATGTGAATACAACACGTATTAAACCACATCATTTCCCCACATTCAACTGTTGTGAAGTGTGTTATGACATTTTCAAACACCAACAAACCTTTAGTTTTTATTTGGCTCACCGACACGAGGGAGTACAGTAATCTTTCACCCGTTGAGTTCAGCTTGAATATGAAAACATCATCATGCACCGCTGTTCTGGGTCAGGGCTGAAGCTTTACGATTCCTGAGGACCAGTCAGAACTTAAACTGGTGTGATCCATTAATGTCTGTAGGACTGAGTTGTAGGCGGTTTGTGTGGCAGCCATCTTGAATTGGACAGTTTAACATCTAATTCTCCTGCTATGAACAAGATGAGGCGTGTTGAGGCCATTCCAGAGCCGAGAGACCTTTTCATGTCCTGGGAGGTAATTGTTGAAGCTTCTGGTAATATTTCTGGAGACAGAAAAAAAAAAAACAGATTTAATATTTGATACCACTGCCACCGCCAGAAAAAGCCCAGTTACGCTCCAGTTCAGACCGGAAAACGCCAAAACCACCCTTAACCCTCCCGGGTCCATGGACGCGTATCTGTGTCTTTAGATCAGGTCTGATTTGGGACGCTGTGGCAGCAAGACTCCGCCTCCCTGAGTTTCGGTTTCAATTCAGCTTTAAAAAGGAGATTATAAACTACACCCCAGTTTTTAAATGTTAATAGGCAACGTAAAAGCGGAGTTATACTAAACTAAAAAAACGACCTATTTTTAGACGATCTGGTAACTTGTCAAAACAGCAGTTTAGTAATCCGTGAGCGGGAATGTGCTTGTGAACATAAAAACCCACAAAAACATGAGATCCTTTTGCTTTTGGTGGAAGTCTCACATATTCAGTTGATAAAAAGTATCATTATGTAGCTGAGAGAGAGAGGAAGGCCGCACGAGTAACGAGATGTGCGCAAAAAGGAGCCGCTTCGCGGGGAAAGGAGTGGCGCGAACGGCGTAACAACAAACAATTAGATATTGATGGTAAACTTCATATTTTGGAGCGATCCAGACAGATATATTGTCGCTGCAGTTTAGTATGCTTTTATTAGGCTTTAATAAAGGACGATGAGAAGGATAAATGTCCACCAGGCAGTTCAGATAGTACGGCTGTTTCCTGAACTGGAAGCAGAGGAAGTGGACGGAGACTCACAGCCGGAGTCTGAGGCAAATAGCGAGGATGTTGATGACGATGTGGCAGATCCATCCTTCCTCATAGAAGAGTTGGGTCATGATGAGGTAGAGGATGAAGGCAGAGATCCAGCTCCTCGGAGATCCAACAAGAGGAGTGGGCGGCGCCGCGCAGCTGTCAGATCTTGGCGTGAGACAGAGCCACTCCCCACTCCAAAATGCATGTACATTATTGCCAGATTAATAAAATAAGTATAAATTCAGATAGTCCAGGTTGTCCTGAAAAAGATGATACCCCATAAGGCAATATTTATTGTTTTTATTAGAAAATACAAAAGAGAAACCTAAATGAGTCAAAAACGGTGATTTACACCATGGACCCCAGAGGGCTAATTTAAAAAATTTGTTATTTGCTATATTCATATTTTTTTTATAAATGTACAGTCTAGATTACCATTCTAAATTATAAAAAGCATTTGTCATGTTTGTTGGTTTCACAGTAACTTTTTTCCAATTTAGATTTTATGTTTTTGAGTGATTTAAGGTCTAATATGCAACCCCTTTATGCCCAAATATAAAAAATAAGTATAAATTCATAACGTCCAGGTTGTGCTGGAAAGATTGACACCACATAAGGCAGTGGTTATGGTTTTTACTTTGGAAATACAAAGGAAAACTAAATTAGTCAAACGGCAAATTACACCCTGGACCCCAGAGGGTTAATCTATTCTGACCTCATCAGGGGGACAACCACGCAGCCTGCATCTCCACCTGGTTCAACCACTGGCACCCCACCCCCAACGCAGGGATAAATGTTTGGTTGGAGACACCACCCTGTCCACTTTTTCTACTTAAACTGAAAATGTGAAAAATGACAAACGTCCATTTTTTACTTTCGGGTTTTCAACTAAAGAACCAACTAGACCGTTTCCTAACGGCTGCTGTTTTTAAATCCCGTTGAATGCGGAGAACAGGATGGAAGTGAGAACCGCCACAGCCTCATCAGTACCTTCAGGTTGTTGTAGTGGCCTCGGCTGCAGCAGTGCTGGTCCTCCATTTTGCTCTTGTCCACGTAGAAAACGGAGCAGAGGGAACAGAAGAAGCCCAGCTTGCGCTCCACAAACCGCCGACCTGGAGATGAAACACGGTTACATCCAGAGTTCTGCTTCCTGTCCTGAGCAGGAACTTCCTGTCACGTGGATTTAACAACACCCCCTCCCTCACCGAGAGACTCGTCTGGATCTGATGGCTGCGGCTTGGAGACATCAGAATCAGAACAAGGTTGCTTAGCAACAGGTCCAAGAAGCTGCTCCACCTCTCCACCAGAACCTGAAGTAGATTAATAAAGTTTTTAGATTCGTCATTTCAGGTATTTGACCTGGAAAAGCACAGGTGTGAAAGCGAGGGCTGCATTTCATTCCTGTAGCAGTGGTGGTGAAACAGCTGAGCCTTCCCTCCTCAGGTCTGACCTCACAGCGTTGATGTTTTACTAAATCTGTTTAGATGAATTTAGACCTTCACCATTGTTAGATGAATAGAGCCGGTGCATCAGAGCAACAAACACTAAAAGAGTAAGAAATTGATAGCAGACCTGTCTCCTCCTCATGGTGGCGTTTAGAAGATCTTAAGGTTTCATCTTCTCTTTTGTCTGGTTCTTTTCTAACCTGTAATTGTAAAAGCAGGTGAGTTTTCATTAGAGAGGAGACATCCCCCAGAGACAACGTCAAACTGGCCTGAATGTCCTCGCCTCATGATGAAGGGAGCATGTTTGGTTCTCTGATGCTGTAGCGTCTCCTCCATCCTTAACCACCACCTCATCCTCAGCAGCAGCTGTTTCTTTATCTTCTGGATAATCCAACATCTGGTCTTCAGAGACCAGAGCAGCTTTAGAGGGCAAGGAGACGTTCTCCTTTACAGCTGCACTTTGTTTCTTTGGTCTTCCTCTCTTTGGTTTTTGACTTGGCTGAACTTCAGCAGTCCCCTCCTCCTCTGCTGAAGTTGTTTCTTCTCTCCTTGGACTTTGCTCTCTGGTTGGTTTGGTTCTCGTCATGGTCAGGATGGTCCCATCTTCCTGGGTTTTCTCATTTTCCGCCTCTGTCTTGGCTTTCCTTCCTCTGGTGGACATCGGTGTAACTGGTTTGTTGGTTCCAGCTTTGTCCACATCAGGGTTTAAAGCCTTTTCCTGCTTGTTGAGGGTTCTGGTGGACTGTCTCCTACCAGAACCACCAGGGGTCATGTCTTCCTCTGTCTTGCTGTAATTTGCTCTTGTCTCATATTTTCTTTCAGGTTTGTTTGATTGTTCGTCTATCTTAGATGAGCTGGTCTTTAGTTGACACTCACTGGTCTCTGGACCAGCTTCCTGTGTCTGGTTCCTAGTTGTGTCGTCTACTTCCATCTGTTTAACGAGCTTCTCTGGTTTCTGTTCTGGTAGGTCCAGAGCTGAAGGATGAGTCACAGGGTTGCAGGTCTCCTTTAATGTCTCATAACTTTGTTCTGAAACTGGATCTGTTGATCCAGAGGAGACTGCTAGAGGACCAGGAGCTTCTGGAGGCTCTGCACCTACTGCTGTGTGTAGACCTTGGAGACGTTTACGGGTCATCGGTCTGAAGAAGGAAAAAAAAAATGACTAGCTATCCAAAGGCTTATTACATTTAATGAATGATTTAACAAATGTTAATTTACACATCCCCTCCCAAAAGGAAGCGGCTTTGACTGGTTAACCAGTGATTCCAGTCAGCTGGTTTCTACAGACACGGAGCTGGACCCAGTTTGATGCAGGTATTTCAGTGGCCGCTTATTTCAACCAGGGCAGTGATGGTTACAGTAAGAAACAATCTGCTAAAATATGTGAACATCAATAACGTTAAAGTTTAGTTTTATTTTCTCATATCAACTCAGTCTGTTGTTTTGATGGTGCACCACTATAGCGAAAACCACGTGTTTACTCTGGAACTTTATCATAAACAGGTAACCTTGTTTGGGAACACCTCCCGTCCCTTTAAACGTTAGCGTTAGCATGTTTAATCACCCAGCTACTGCAGGAGAGAGGCTCCCAGAGGCTGCGCGCTCCCGCGGAGTAGGAACTTTATTTAGACAACACCGGTCTCTCTCCTCCGCCTCTGTTGAATTCACAACAGAAATGAGCTTTTTCCACCCCAGCCGTTACTTTATGCTAACGGCTGCACACGGAAAAGACGTGAATATGTTTTGTGCCTCCCCATAAACGGTCCGGGCGCTGCACTCGCGCACTCCACGGTTTCGCTTTTGAGTATGGCAAGCCATTACGGCCAAAATACGCCACTTTCCCAACCCGTCTGGTTAAGAGGTGGCGAAAAAAACGCTGTTTGATGTGCCAAGACGTCATAAAATACGGCGAAAACTCTCCCAGAACGCCGTATTTGACTCCAGCCAGAGCCGTTCTTAACGGTCCCATAGAACGCCGGACATTGAACGCCGTTTTTTACGTCACCCTAATCCCAGACACGTTCCCTGTGTGGGTGGCGTAAAAAACGGCGTTTTGTACGGACATTGAACGCTGCTTTTTTCGCCACTCTGTGACATGAAACGCCATTTTTAATGCCACTTTTCACGCGTTTAAAATTCAACTTTACTCTCATTTATGCAGAGCCCTCCCCATGGGTTTCTCATCCACTTAAACTCCAGTGACCCAATGAAAGAAGAGGAGGTTGAGCAGCACTAATTCATCACAGATTCGCCGGGCTGAGTCCAGCTGGAACATCAGTGCTCTTTCTGTCCAAAACTCCCTTCTTCTTAAGCTCATCCACTTTGAGTATTTACTATTGTATTTTTTTTGTTGTTGTTTTGTTTACTATTATACTTGTCTTACAGGAGCTTCTGTCTTGCTTCTACATCATCACTCTCCAGATCCTCAGACCAGCCACTCCTGAACCTTCCCAGATCCGGGTTGGGAAAGTGGCGTATTTTGGCCGTAATGGCTTGCCATATACATGTTCCTAGACATCGCGGTTAATTAAAACCAATAACCCGCCCGTTTGTACAAGCTTTGTATCATCTAGCAGCAGATAACCTAAGATCAATGGTTACACTGACGAAAACTAAAAGTTACATTTAGTCGTGCATTATATTCTGAAGAATTTAATGTAAGTTAAAGGAGGCTAAGCTATTTTCTAACCCGCAAATGCCTTCACCCTGGATCGCACATATGTTGTATAATTTAAATGAAAAAGTAATGATGTGTTCCAACCACACCAGTCACATTCTTTGAGATTTATTTGGTTTACCAAAAATCTGCCTGGCCTGAAATTCTATAGAAGGGATAGAAACACCAGCATGAAAAGCTCACGAGCAAGCAGTGGATGAACAGAAATCCACACAAAAGCTAACAGATGAGTTTTGAGCTGCTTTCTACAAGGTTCTTTTTGTTCATTAACATCATGTAATGAATCAAAAGGGTCAAATTTCACCATCAAATTGACACAGCATAACCTTTCATGCAAGCCAGAGCTGCAAACTCAAGGTTACGCCATCTGGAGGATCCAGACACACAAATCAACCTTTTGCTCACTTATTGTTCTTCAGCGCAGACATAAATAAACTGTCAAGGTCTCCCGCAAAAGCCTTATCTCTCTGCTAAAAGTGAGACTGCTGGATTTCTCACTCTGATTAAATCAATGAATTTGAAATGAATATTGTTCTTACAATGATCCATTTATATCACAAATCACTATGTGTTTGATTTAACAAGTTAATCATTATGTAAACTCATACACATCTTCATAAGATACAAATTAAGGTCACATAATGTTTAAATATTATTTATTCACAGAATTAAGAAGCTTGTGTCTGAAGGAAGGAGTGGCATTCTGAGGGATGTTGGCAAATACCCAGAAACTTATCAAATTCTGATTTGCCAGAATGGCCAGAAATCATAACATTGTGGTTTAATAAAACAAGAATTACTTCCCGAGTAATTCAGTTTCTAGCAGAGTTCTGAACCGGCCAATTCGGAACAAGCATCCTTGAGACGTCTCTTTTGGCATAAAGTCAAAACCTGTTTGCACGCTGCAAGCTGACACAGCCAGACGGCTCCCTAAGAGCCACATCCACTTTGGACGCAAACAAGCATTCCAGCTACTGTTGTGACCTGGAGACATCTCACGACTGGACGGGTCGTATCGGAGTTTAATCTACGAAATCCCGGTGCCGGGAGGTCCACCCGACTTCTGACAGTCCAGATCTGCTGGGGGTCTCCGCCAGAGTTTGTAGACAACAGAGTGCGTCTGATGCTGTTTTATTAATAATCAACTCTCTAGTTTATAGCAGACAAATTCTTTTACACCCAGATTTCACTATTTCTTTCAGATACAAAGATTCTGATAAACATCTAGCTTACATCACACCACCTACACCTCACATACCATCACCGCATATCATCCACTCCATCACATCTCATTATTCATGTCTTGTCATGTATAATCATTAGTTTAGAAAATAATAAAATTCATTATATAAACTACATACTTGACTCTGTCTGAATTAATACGAAGTGTGTTTATGGTCCCTGAACAAGCAAAGAACCCTAGAATCCTCTGATTAAACATTCAAAGATCAATCAGAGTGATATTTCATTTTTATATGGAATAATCACATCTTATTGGTCATAATTAATTTGCAGTCGTCACGCTATACAGTGTGACCGCTACAATCAGAAAAGGCCTTGTAATGGACATTTTCAGGAGAGGAGATTCTGTTGCAGCAGTCTGCTCCATCTCCATCCCAGGTCATGAAGAATGACTAGTACCAAGAGTTTCTACCCCATAGTTCTCAGGATTTATGGGAGGTATATCAGACAAGAACCGGATCCAACAGGGATCCAACACTGCCCTTGGTGCTTGTGTGAATATTGAGACTACCGTGGCACAGGAATGCAGGTATTTAGAGAAAATACAATTTCTCACTGACATTTTTATGTATTTAATTAAATTCTACTACAGCCTTTAAGGCTTAAGGAATAAGCACAAATAAACCAAGATGCAACAAATATGATTACATGCAGACTTTCCTCTGACAGTTTTAGCGGACATGTTGGTATGACAGATGCAGGTAGCATCCTGGTCCATCGGTTTGATGTCAGGCCACTGGTAAACTAGAGTAAACCTCTAAAGTCTTTAAGGACCGTGTTACAAACGAGATACTCACGACTCCACGTGTAGAACATTCCTCCTGTAAAGGAAAAGTTTGGAGTATTTTAATATTCACCGATGTGAGAACATGGGACCATTTCCATTGTCTAGTTAAAAATAATAACATACCAAGTTTCAGGTCGAGACAAACGGGCCGTTGAGAAAACTTCCTCCACCTTTTCTGCATCATTGGATTTGACCATCTCGATGTAAATCTGGTACCGGAGACGAAAGTAAGAAAAACACAATTCCAGCATGTTCAGCTTTCATGCCAGTGGTTGTGCTGTCCCACCTTGTCGGCAAGTGCCAAGTAGTTGAGAAAAGGAGCGACAGAGGCAACCATTTCTGTGACCTTCATGACCAGGGACATACTCGTGTCAGAGACATCCACACACAGCAGGCGGTCCTCCAGTGTGTCCAGGACCGGAGGATGCTGCCAAAACAGCAGGTGGTGTTACAGCAGCCGTGTTTACCCAGTTACAGATTTAAAAAAACAAGCAGACGACCTACTGCATTACACCACTTTATCAGATTACTGTACACGGTCACCTGCAAACACAAACATCACATAATCACTAAAAGACCAATGGAAAAAAAAGTGTAAAATAATAATCTTTATTATCTTTCATCATAGCGTATTAGATATCTTTATGTGCTATAGACCCTTTTACTACCTACGTCATCAAAAGTTGCGCGCGCAGCCTGGCAACGAGAGTGAAGGCTTCCTCATTCACACTCGATACTAAAACAGCGTTTTAAACCCTTTGTTTTGAAGTTATGAGCACATAAAAATGTCGGGTTGTTGCGTGTATGGATGCCAGAATCGCTTCTCTTCAAGCAGTGGACTGAAACTTTACAGAATTCCAAAGGGAGCACATCCATTTCAACAAAACCGGAGGCGTCTGTGGCTGCAGGCCATCAAAAGGGTCGATGAAAACTGGACTGAAAACACGATCCGAAATGCTCGAGTTTGTAGCGCCCATTTTATATCAGGTAAGGTAATTATGTACTAAGATTACACCAGAAAGCTGGTTAACGTGTGTTCTATTAAATAAAGTAAGTTGTGTTTGCTGGTTTGCAAATGAAATTAACATTTCATTCTAATTCATCTGTATTTTCCCACTGCATATTAGTATAAACTGTATTTCTCTAAAAATTAACACGATTGTACTCTGAGCACGCTAAAAAAAGAAACCTATGCTATACTCACCCTGCCATGCGGGTGCAGTTGGCTGTGAAGACGTAGTTCTCTCGTTTGTTTACTATGACCCAAGCCTCATACATAGCAGTCTTGTGTCCTTGTCTTTGGCTAGGAAGGACTTCTGCCTTCAAGACGCAAAACTCAGAGTCTATGTCGTGATATTTTACTTTCTGTACGTGGCCACAGACAACATAGTTGTACAGGTGCTGGCCAGTAAATTAGAATATCATCAAAAGGGTGAAAATATTTCAGTAATTCCATTCAAAACGTGAAACTTGTACATTATATTCATGCAATGCACACAGACCAATGTATTTCTGATGTTTATTACGTTTAATTTTGATATTTATAGGTGACAACCAATGAAAACATCAAATCTGGTATCTCATAAAATTAGAATATTCTAAAGGCCAATGAAAAAATGTTTGTTTCTCTAATGTTGGCCAACTGAAAAGAATGAACATGAAAAGAATGTGCATGTATAGCACTCAATACTTAGTCGGGGCTCCTTTTGCCTCAATAACTGCAGTAATGCGGCGTGGCATGGACTCGATCAGTCTGTGGCACTGCTCAGGTGTTATGAGAGCCCAGGTTGCTCTGATAGTCGTCTTCAGCTCCTCTGCATTGTTGGGTCTAGCGTATTGCATCCTCCGCTTCACAATACCCCATAGATTTTCTATGGGGTTAAGGTCAGGCGAGTTTGCTGGCCAATCAAGGACAGGGATACCATGGTCCTTGAACCAGGTGCTGGTGGTTTTGGCACTGTGTGCAGGTGCCAAGTCCTGTTGAAAGGTGAAGTCTGCATCCCCATAAAGTTGGTCAGCAGCAGGAAGCATGAAGTGCTCTAAAACTTCCTGGTAGACGGCTGCATTGACCCTGGACCTCAGGAAACAGAGTGGGCCAACACCGGCAGATGACATGGCACCCCGCACCATCACTGACGGTGGAAACTTTACACTGGACCTCATGCAACGTGGATTCTGTGCTTCTCCGCTCTTCCTCCAGACTCTGGGTCCTTGATTTCCAAAGGAAATGCAGAACTTGCTTTCATCAGAAAACATAACTTTGGACCACTCAGCATCAGTCCAGTCCTTTTTGTCCTTGGCCCAGGCGAGACGCTTCTTGCGCTGTTTCTTGTTCAAGAGTGGCTTGACACACGGAATGCGACACCTGAATCCCATGTCTTTCATGAGTCTCCTCGTGGTGGTTCTTGAAGCGCTGACTCCAGCTGCAGTCCACTCTTTGTGGATCTCCCCCACATTTTTGAATGGGTTTGTCGTCACAATTCTCTGCAGGGTGCGGTTATCCCTAGAGCTTGTACACTTTTTTCTACCACATTTTTTCCGTCCCTTCGCCTGTCTGTTAATGTGCTTGGACACAGAGCTCTGCGAACAGCCAGCTTCTTTAGCAATCACCTTTTGTGTCTTGCCCTCCTTGTGCAAGGTGTCAATGATTGTCTTTTGGACAGCTGTTAAGTCAGAAGTCTTCCCCATGATTGTGGTGCCTTCAAAACAAGACTGAGGGACCTTTTAAAGGCCTTTGCAGGTGTTTTGAGTAAATCAGCTGATTAGAGTGGCAGCAGGTGTCTTCTATATTCAGCCTTTTCAGAATATTCTAATTTTTTGAGATACCAAATTTGGAGTTTTCATTAGTTGTCACTTATGAATATCAAATTTAAATGTAATGAACATTGGAAATACATTGGTCTGTGTGCATTGCATGAATATAATGTACAAGTTTCACATTTTGAATGGAATTACTGAAATATTTTCAACCTTTTGATGATATTCTAATTTACTGGCCAGCACCTGTATGCATCTAACGATTTGTATGCCCGTAGCTTCTTACGTGTGTACTTACTGGGCCTCTCCACTAAAAACGTATATATATCGGGTCACTGGATATCTGGCCACGCACCTACATCTTCCACCCAATCCGTAATGCCACAGGGATCCGGGAGTCTGTTGCCATTCGTTAAAGTGAGTTTAATAATATAACATTCAAGATTTGCCGGTGATAACCCCGCAGCGTAGCTTGACAAAGCCTGACACAACGCCATTCTCTGTTGCCAAGCTGCGCACGCATTCTCGCTGACGTCATACTGTTTACAAACAGTAAAAGGGTCTATAGCGTGTTTGTATGTGTCTGCTTGTGAAACATCGCTGTTGAAACTGGAGCAGATGGGAGTCAAGCATCTAAAGGCTGCAAGAGCGTCCTGCTCTTCTGATGAGGGAGAATCTGCAACTCCTTCAACTCCTCTCATCACTGCACTGGGGTTGGCTCTTCTCACTCCTGTGTGTGTGTGTGTGTAGTCTAAGACTTTAGTCAGACGAATCCTTGCAAGTAAAGATATAAAACTAAATCATCTGTGGTCCTGAGTCCTATTGGTGCTTATACTGTAGGAAGAATTGTCCTGAGAATTACCCATACCTCATCAAGGCCAGGATGCATGTCCTGGAGGACAAAATGGATGGCGGGACGTGGGACACATCCTCTCAAAGAAACTGGATTTGTTAGATAATTCAGAACAAAACAACGACATGCCTCCCAGGTGTTGAAATATAGAAAAGCCTGCAGGTAAAGAGAGAAAAAATGTTGAGATCAGGGCTAGCTTACCCATTCAAACAGATTAATTCATATGCTAACTGTGATTTCATATCTAGAACTGTCAAGACTTCCTACCAGAACAGCAGGAAGTAACCCAGTTTAATAGCTAACATAACTAATTCTGAACTGAACAAGTTGAGCTGCCAAAAACTAGAGTTGTGAGCTACGTGCCCTGAGGAACCCCAGTGGAGCGGAGACGAGTTACAGACGTCTGTCCCTCTCATGTAAGTCTGATAAATGAGGACGGATTTCAGCCAATAGATTTAAAGATAAACTAGTTTAAGCCCCCTTCAGACAGGCCATGAAAAACGGAAATGTTCCGGACTCTGTCCGTAAGACCTTTGTGTCTGAATACAAACATCCGGATAACGTGTTCCGGAATTTAACCGGACGAAGCCCCTAGTAACAGGTCCGGACTTGTTACGGACAAGGTGGCTGCTTCAGACTGGTGAGGTAGAGTTCCGGACAGGGGGGAGGGGGAGGAGGAGGGGACCGGGGGACGCCGTGCGCACCTAGATAGCTCGCTCCTGTAGCATGCGGCGGCGAACCACGGAAGCTCGCCTCCTACGGTACCGCCTAGACGCGCGACGGAGCTCTTCACACCGCTTCAGTGATTCCTTTAACCATTGAGCTTCATCATCCAGGTCTCTTATGCGTCTTCGTGTGCGCAGAATTATGCTTAAGCGCCTCATGATTTTTATCTTGAGAGGCGCAATAGAAAAGATATTTTCTTCTTCTTCTTCTTAACATGAGTCCGATTCTACCCCTGACCCCCTGCCGCCGTCAGACATCTGGAACTTTTCCCTGCTGTGTGAACGCAGCCGAAAGGACAAGTTCCGGTACAAAAGTGGTGTGTCTGAAAACACAGTTCCAGTTAAAAACCGGATTGAATTGTCCGCAAATGTTCCAGAATGTCTGTCTGAAAAGGGCTTTGCTGTGTCAGAAGCTGAAACTAGATCTACAAGGAAGGGAACGAGTGAAATAAGACATTTGCCAGAGTTGTGATTTCATGTTAACACTTCAACTAAATGCAAATGCAAATTGGGAATAGAAAACGTTTGTGTGTTGTTTGTAAGTAACCACACTAACTGATTTGCAACAGTCCACAGCGTTGTTTGGGCTCCTTACCCTCCTCTGCATGGTCAGGACGATCAAGTTAAAGCTCTGAAACGGACGATTCTTTTCGGGGAAACAACCCGACACCAGGTCGGCGATGCCCTCGTGCGTGTAGTTTTCTTCAGGCAAACCGGTCAGCATGATGGTGGAAAACACAGAGGCCCGCGGCTCAGCTTCCTACAGGTCACAAGGTTCAGAGTTCAAGTTTAAATCTCATAAACGTCAAAATATCACAGCAAGGGTGGATCTAAAGGTAACTTACTGTAATGTCGCTGATTTGATTGACTGTCAGAAAATCTAAACCCAAACAAGCAAACATAATCACTTCATGTTACCATGGCGATTAAACTCAGCTTCCAGGTGGTTATTTTACCTGGGATGATGAAGCAGGGAGCTGCAGTAGGGAACATGTAAGGAGCAGTCGTCATGGTAACCCAGAATGGTGGTGAACTGCCATGTGGAACATCCTGAGTATTTGTTGTCAACATGAGTGCCCTGGCAACATAGTCGTTGATGTGGGCTGAAGAGTTTTCTCCTCGTCTTTGCCCTAACATCGGAAGATGGAGACGTTTCAGATCAGACAGTTTGAAGGTGTCTGAGGTGCCCAGAAGGTTCCAACTCTGTTCTTTCAAAATGGAGTAAAAGAAAGTAAAAAAAAAAACTCATCTTTGCATTTCCTAAAAGTGACCAAGAACAATTAAAAAAATGCTACGGATCAGGAGTTTGGTGGTCTGGAGCATACATGCGCGTGTTAACATGTGCCACGTGGGTCTCTACCACCTCCACAAACACTCCAAAGGTGACTAAAAACCATCCATCCATTTTCTGTAAGATTTTGGTTTCAGGAGCCACATGTTTCCCTAACCCTACAAAATTAGCATAGGGTGGAAAACGGGATTCAAAAGACCGTTTCTGCACTTATAATAAATGAAATATTATTTTGTTGCATGTCAAGAAAAGCGCTGCGGTTCTTTTCGGTTCTCCTTTGGGGATTAGATTAGTAGGTTCCCTTTCAGTCGATTCACTCGGTACAGCGGAGGAACTATGGGACATCACGCCCTCGTGTGGCCTGGCTGAAGACACATTTAATCACTCCTGTAAGGCAAATGAAAGTGACGCGGCGTGGAGGCCCCCCGCCCTCCATTACAAGCGACCGCGTCACTGTCATTCCTCAGTTCTTACGTTCTTCACCTCGCTGACGACACATCTGACAACTAGCTGCGCTATTAAAAGATAGCTTAACCGCTCGCTGACTGGACTCTACTGCCTTCTGGCTAGCATTCCTGCCCACCGAGCGCTATCTTTTTTGGCTCTTCAGCTTCTCTGCTTCGCTCCGCTGGGTGTCTCGCAATGAGCAACGTGTTGGACGTCGCTTCGCGGAAAGCCGCTTCGCGCCCCTGTCCTCAGGGCGGTGGATTCTTTCTTCACAGGAAGGACCTACACGAAGCGTGCCCGGTTTGTCTGGGAATTCTCCCTGCCAGGAGAGCGCTTGTGGACCCGGAGGCATGCGAGTTCTGTCGCCAACTCCGCCGTACCACGCTCGAACGGCGCGTGAAGCTCCTACAACTTCTCCTGGGAGACGCTGCAGTTTCGCAGCAGGACCCCGTCTTTTCCGTTCAGCCCGGCTTCGCCCAGCCCTGACCTGGACAGCCTAGCGATCGATGTCCCCGCTACTAGCTGGGCAGATCAGATGGAGATGGCGGACAATTTAACCGGACCAGACCTAGAGGCTTCTCAGTTTCCTCCTCTGGCAGAGGATGAAGGAGACGTTTTGGACATTTGCCCCGACGGTCAGGACTTACTCGAGGACGAGGAGGTCCTCTCGGTGGTGGAGTGTTCTGCTCCGGCCGCTACTTCAGCCTCTGAGCTGCGAGATGACACTTCTTTTCTCCCGCTCTGCCGGCGTGCAGCGGGGAGGCTAGAAGTGGACTGGCCCGCTCCTCCACCTGCACAAAAGAGCTTTTCTGGATTTTACCTCCCCTCGGAACCAGCTTGGATCCCGAACCTGACCTCTCCTCCTCTAACTCAGAGGACAGCCTCTCCAGCGGCAACGAAGGGCTCGGTCCCAGCTCGGACCCCGTCTTTCCCTCCTCGCCACTCCGCCTGGAGTAAAGGCCCTCCTGGGGACTCACAGAAACGCTCTGTAAGCCGCACCTCAGTCGTCCTGATCCGGGGACTGACCTTGTTCGGGTTTTGGACCCTGTTGGACTACAAAAACCCCAGTTTTCTGTGGTTGAAACAGACCAGTTCCGCTCAGGGATGGGTACCTTTGACATTTGAATCGATCCTGTACTTAACGGTACCAATTTTTGATACTTTTGAGTGTTTATTATTTTAATTCTCTTTTATAATTAAATATATATTTTTCTCAATCTATAACAATATTTGATAAATATCACGATAAATAACATACAACTGTTTGTATTTTAACATCGTCCTTGTAGTTTTATAAGCTGATAATTAAACTGAAGCAAACATCTTTACTGTGAAATAAATTTACTGTGTATCTTCATTCCTTTTGCCGTCTTTTTTCATTTGATTTTTCCTACTGGGAAGTTAGAATTTCCGAGGAGAAAGCGAACGCACCATTAGCTGATAACAACAGTGGCAATGGAAGCTAACATACCAAACTAACATTATCTTAAACAGTTTATTTAGCTTGGCATGGCAAGGGAACATGCCGCGTAGACCTGGCAGACCCAAACGCATAGTGAGGGTCTGCTGGGAACGCCTGGCAGAAGAACCTGTCAAGACGGTCTTCAATTCCCACCTCCGGCAGAGCTTTGACCACGTCCCGAGAGCAGTGGGGGACATTGAGTCCGAGTGGGCCTTGTTCCACTCTGCGATTGTCGAGGCGGCTGTTGCTAGCTGTGGTCGTAAGGTGGCCGGTGCCAGTCGTGGTGGCAACCCCCGTACCCGCTGGTGGACACCAGAGGTTCGGGGAGCCGTCAGGCTGAAGAAGGAGGCCTACAGGGCGTGGCTGGTCTGTGGGTCTCCGGAGGCAGCAGACAGGTACCGGATAGCCAAGCGGGGTGCAGCAGTGGCAGTTGCCGAGGCAAAATCTCGGGCGTGGGAGGAGTTTGGTGAGGCCATGGAGAAAGACTATCGATCGGCTCCAAAGAGGTTCTGGCAAACTGTCCGGCGCCTCAGGAGAGGAAGGCAGCAACTCGCTCACACTGTTTACAGTGGGGATGGGGAGCTGCTGACGTCAACTGAGGCTATAGTCGGACGGTGGAAGGAATACTTTGAGGAGCTCCTCAATCCCACCAATGCGCATTCCGAGGAGGAACCAGAGCTGGGAGGCCTGGGGATGGACTGTCCGATCTCGGGGGCAGAAGTTGCTGAGGTAGTCAAACAAGTACACAGCGGCGGAGCCCCGGGGGCGGATGAGGTTCGTCCTGGGTATCTCAAGGCTATGGATGTTGTAGGGCTGTCATGGTTGACACATCTCTACAACATTGCGTGGTCATCGGGGGCAGTTCCTAGGGAGTGGCAGACCGGGGTGGTGGTCCCCATCTTTAAGAAGGGTGACCTGAGGGTGTGTTCCAACTATAGGGGGATCACACTCCTCAGCCTCCCTGGAAAGGTCTACGCCAAGGTACTGGAGAGGAGGGTCCGATCGATAGTTGAATCTCAGATAGAGGAGGAGCAATGTGGTTTTTGTCCTGGCCGTGGAACTGTGGACCAGCTCTATACCCTTGCAAGGGTGATGGAGGGGGCATGGGAGTTTGCCCAACCAATCCACATGTGCTTTGTGGATTTGGAGAAGGCTTATGACCGTGTCCCCAGGGGCACCCTGTGGGGGACGCTCCAGGAGTATGGGGTGGGTGGCTTTCTGTTAAGGGCCATTCAGTCCCTTTACCAGAGGAGCGTGAGTTTGGTCCGCATAGCCGGTAGTAAGTCGGACCTGTTCCCAGTGAGGGTTGGACTCCGCCAGGGCTGCCCTTTGTCACCGGTTCTGTTCATCACTTTTATGGACAGAATTTCTAGACGCAGCCGTGGTGTGGAGTGTGTCGAGTTTGGTGGCAGGAGAATCTCGTCTCTGCTTTTTGCGGATGATGTGGTCCTCCTAGCTTCATCCAGCTCTGACCTTCAGCTCTTGCTGGGTAGGTTCGCGGCCGAATGTGAAGCGGCTGGGATGAGGATCAGCACCTCCAAATCTGAGACCATGGTTCTCGACCGGAAAAGGGTGGCTTGCCACCTCCGGGTCGGGGGAGAGGTCCTACCTCAAGTGGAGGAGTTTAAGTATCTCGGGGTCTTGTTCACGAGTGAGGGTAGGAGGGATTGGGAGATCGACAGGCGGATTGGTTCGGCGTCTGCAGTGATGCGGACGCTGAGCCGATCTGTCGTGGGGAAGAGGGAGCTGAGCCAGAAAGCCAGGCTCTCGATTTACCGGTCGATCTACGTCCCAATCCTCACCTATGGTCATGAGCTTTGGGTAATGACCGAAAGAACGAGATCGCGGATACAAGCGGCCGAAGTGAGTTTCCTCCGTAGGGTGGCCGGGCTCAGCCTTAGAGATAGGGTGAGGAGCTCGGACATTCGGGAGGGACTCGGAGTAGAACCGCTGCTCCTCCGGATCGAAAGGAGCCAGTTGAGGTGGTTTGGGCATCTGGTCAGGATGCCTCCTGGACGCCTCCCCGGGGAGGTGTTTCGGGCATGTCCTGCCGGCAGAAGGCCCCCGGGTCGACCCAGGACACGTTGGAGAGGTTACATCTCCAATCTGGTCCGGGAACGCCTTGGGGTCCTGCCGGAGGAGCTGGTGAACAAGGCCGGGGAGAGGACGGCCTGGAGCTCCCTAATTGGGATGCTGCCCCCGCGACCCGGACCCGGATAAGCGGAGGAAGACGACGACGACGAGTTTATTTAGCTGCTGGAGCAGATTAAAACGATGATGCCTCACACTTAGATCGTTGTCACTGGTTTCGTCTTCACCCGTCACATTTAGTAAAGTGAAGCCAAACTTTAGAGCGCGTTCAAGTTCTTCTAGTCGGGAATTCGGAGTTCCGAGGAGAAAGCGAACGCACCATTAGCGACACGGAAGCTAACATATCAAGCTAATTATATTTACCTACCGGAGCAGATTAAGATGAGGATGTCTCACTTAGATCGTTGTTGTTGGTTTCATCATCCAGTTACCCATCACATTTAGTGAAGTGGACCCAAGCTTTAGCGTGCGTTCTCTCTACCCATGCTGCTCTGTTTACAACTGGTTCGCAGCGACCGACGACATAACGCTCTTGCGCATGCGCGGCTGTCTTGGCAAGTTCTCATTATGAAGGACGGATACCGAAACGAGGCACCGTTTGAAATGACGTGAATCGGTGCTCAGTCGGTACTATGGAATTCGGTCGGTACCTTAAAAAGTACCGAATTCGGTACCCATCGCTAGTTCCGCTACGGTTTAACCCCACAGTCCAAAGATACTTTGTTTACCGCCCCCAGGGGGCGAGAGTTGTACTGTTCACAAAAACATGCACACAATGTAATAAAGACTGCTGTTTGCACTCGGCAATGTGTCTCAACAATGCTTCTCAAATTGGCCCCATAAAGCTGCGTCAACCCGCTCCGCTGGTGAACGACAGCTCAATTTTCACATCAAATCCTGTCTGCAATCGGCCTCTGTGGGAGCGAGAAAAGCTGCTGTTCTCCCGCTCTGCTGGACAACAGCAGCTTTCCTCCGGTAGCAGACGTGATGTTCAGAAAGCCTCCCGTTCCGCTAGAGGGCAGCAGCTCCCCCACCAGGGCGCTGAGCGGTTGCCTCGTGGTGAAACTTCACATCTGGCGAGCATGCGCAGTGTCCCCCTGGGTCGAGCGCACGGTTGCCATGGGTTACCGACTGCAGTTCCTGGTCAAACCACCCGTATTTACCTCTGTTGTGCAGACGTATAAATACTGACACTGCGGTCGTGTTACGGGAGGAAATTCAGACTCTATTGTTGAAAGGAGCTATTCGAGCGGTCCCTGTCGAGGACACAAACAAAGCTTGGTACAGCCGCTACTTTGTTGTAAAGAAAAAGGGGGCGGGCTTCGCCCTATTTTTGATCTGCGTGTGTTAAACAAGTATCTGCGCACGTACAGGTTCAAAATGCTAACACTCACACTGCTACTGGACACAGTCAGTCTCGGAGATTGGTTTACTACGATCGATCTCACAGATGCTTATTTCCATGTGGGAATCCATCCCGATCACAGGCGGTTCCTGCGCTTTGCTTTTGAAGAGAAGGCCTACGAGTACACGGTTCTGCCTTTTGGGTTAGCTCTAGCGCCCCGCACCTTTTCGAAATGTGTGGAAGCCGCATTAGCATCCGGATCCTCGCTTACCTAGACGACTGGGCTCTAGTAGCGAGTTCCCAAACACAGACAGAAGCTCCCACTGCACGGATACTTTCCCACGTTCAAGCCCTGGGGTTTTCCATGAACTACAGAAAGAGTTCTCTGGTTCCGAGTCAGTTTCTCCTTCCTCGGGCTGGAAATTTGCTCTCGGTCAAGCAGAGCGCGTCTCTCAGACCAGCGAATAGCCGCGCTACGCAGCTGCTTAGCGCACTTTCAGCTGGGAGCCAGACTGACACTCCGCACAGCTCTACAGCTGCTGGGGATGATGGCTTCCTCCATAGCCGTGGTGCCTCTCGGACTGTTAAAAATGCGACATTTCCAGCGTTGGGTCCGCTCTCACCATCTCCATCCTTCACGTGATCTCCGCCGGAGGTTGACGGTCACCAGAGCCTGCATGGTAGCTCTCCTCCCATGGAGAGAACCAAGGCTGTTCTGCCAGGGTTCCCCTAACGGGAGGGTGTCAGAACGCATAGTGGTGACCACAGACGCTTCCCTCAGAGGCTGGGGGGCTCTATGTGGGGGTTTAGTGGTGAAGGTTTCATATCAACTTTCTGGAACTGTTAACCGTGTTTCTGGCCCTGAAACACTTCAGTCGTCACCTGAGAGGACAACATGTGCTGGTGAGCACAGACAACACGACTGTGGTGTCATATGTAAACAGACAGGGAGGAACACGCTCTATTCCTCTACTGAATCTGACCCACACATTGCTGCACTGGTGCAATCTGAATATCCTGTCTCTCAGAGCAGCTTATGTCCCCGGGTACCTCAACCACGGGGCAGACTTGCTCTCCAGGGGCGGACCTCAGTCAAAGGAATGGGGGGTCCACCCCGAGGTGGTGTCCCAGATCTGGCTGAGGTTCGGCAGGGCAGTAGTGGATCTGTTTGCATCAAGTGTAAACACACACTGTCCCCTGTTCTTTTCTCTGATGGACCGGACTGCTCCAATGGGATCGGATGCTCTGGCGCACCCTTGGCCCGACGTTCTCCTCTACGCTTTTCCGCCGGTGGAACTGATTCCAGCAGTATTGGGGAGAGTGCGCAAGTCGAGCAAGTCTCTGATTTGTGCTCCTCAGTGGTCCACAAAGTCTTGGTACCTGGAGATCATCAGTCTGATGACAGCCCCCCCATGGAAGCTCCCCATCAGACAGGACCTTCTGTCACAGGCACAAAAAAGCACCCTCGCCCACATCTGTGGAAGCTGCAGGCCTGCCTACTGAAAGGTCCAACCTGTTAGCTAAAGGTCTTCCCCCGGCTGTGGTGAATATTATTCAGAGCTCAAGAGCATGCTCCACTCGATCAGCACGAAGCTTCTGTCTTACAAGACAGCTCTGCTCTTAGCCCTCGTATCGGCTAAAAGGGTGGGGAACCTTCATGCCCTTTCAGTTCACCCTTCCTGTCTGAAAATGCCATCAGATGGAGCTAGGGCCACTCTGCATCCGAATGCTGCATATTTGCTTAAGGTCATCCCACTCAACTACAGTTCCATGACCATAGAGCTTTCGAGCTTCCATAGTCCTCCTTTTGCCTCTGAGGAGCAGAGGAGACTGCATTGTCTGTGCCCGGTTCGTGCTCTGCAGGCTTACATAGATCACACTCGGAGTATCAGAATAACAGACCAACTGTTTGTGTGTTTTTTTGCCAAACCCACCATGGAGAAAGCTTTGTCAAAGCAAAGACTTTCTCATTGGATTGTGGAGGCCACTTCTCTGTGTTACAGCGTCACTGGCTCCCAGCTGCCCCTAGGGGTCAGGGCACACTCTACTAGAGGTGTGGCTGCTTCTTGGGCGCCGTTTAAGGGTGTTTCAGTTGGTGACATTTGCTCAGCTGCAAGCAGGGCTACACCCCACACCTTTGTGAGGTTTTACCGCTTGGATGTTTTGGCCCCTTCGGTGGCCCCTGCAGTTCTCTCTGCTGGATCAGACTTGCCATCTTCGGTAGCAATCTCAGGCCAGGTTTGATAGCTGCTCATGGGGCGTTTCGATAAGTCCCATAGTACCTTTGTTGTACCGAGTGAATCGACTGAAAGGGAACGTTAGGTTATGCATATAACCACTGTTTCCTGAAGGAGAGGAACGAGGTACAACGCAGTGCTGCCCCATTTCACAGCGCAGCTCGGCGAAGAGCGGCTATCGAACTGAGGAATGACAGTGACGCGGTCGCTCATAAGTGGAGGGCGGGGCCTCCACGCCGCGTCACTTTCATTTGCCTTACAGGCGTGATTAAATGTGTCTTCAGCCAGGCCACACGAGGGCGTGATGTCCCATAGTACCTTCGTTGTACCTCGTCCCTCTCCTTCAGGGAACAGTGGTTGTATGCATAACCTAACATTGTCATTAGTACGATAATCCTGAACCTCTCTGAGACAAATACTTGCGTGATGAGGTGGCGGAGCCCTGGGGGGCTTTGAGCCTGAACACTCTGTGGTCCAGGCCCCGGTTCAGACGGCTGTACCAAACTCCGAGCCCATCAGCATCGTAAATGGAGGTAAACTCAATGAACACCTGGAACAAACACACCAGTATGACCAACAGAATGTCTCACACACACACACAAATGGAGAACATGTGTGTTTGTACCTTGTTGAGTAAAGGCATGTAGTTCCTAACAGAACCCATTTTCTTTGAATTTTCTCTGAGATCTTTGGCTTCCTGGGATGAGATATTCTGGATGAAGACCACACTTGATCCATCGTTGGTCACATCCTGATCCAACAGGAACACAGCGGGACGATGGTCAGACATCCTAACACCAAACAAGTCTCTGGAGAATTGCTGTTTTACTCACAAAGTTCATCAGCTTCATCAGGGATTTATAGAACTGAAACTGAAACAAGAACTTATTACAAACTTTTACTTTTATTTGAGAAAAGTGAGGATTTGCATAGAAAACACCATTTCATGAAAACATGAACTGAACGCGAACTCGTCTAAATTTATGTTTTTATTCCAGTGGATCCAAATGGAGCACGTTCTTACCGGTGATGTGAAGATTTTGCAGTGAATGATCTCCAAGATGAGTTTAGATCCTTTGAAAGTAAATTCCTTCTGGTTCTTAATGTAAAACTTCCGTAGCTCTGTTATACTGGGCATGACCACAAACGCCTGAAAGGTCAAAGTTACACCCATCAGTAGGGCGATGAGAAATAACTGGGTTAACTACAGCAGCACCCGGTTCTTACCATGCGTAGTGTGGGAAGAACAAATATGCTTTGGTCTGAGTAGTGGAATCCGAACGGACGAAGCAGATCAGCGACGTTGGCCTCTGTGTAGTGGTTGTGGTGAAACACTGGCAGGTTTCCCACCAACAGGAGTTTGTTCTGAAGCTGAGAACAACAGAAGACAGGAACCGAATCTCAATATTTGACCTTCTTCATTAAAAAAGGATCCTCTCTGTGACCTCTTCCTTGATGCGTGAAAGCAGCAGTACGTACGTGTGGCCAACTGACAAAGTACCGTTACTGAGAACGTAACACTACTGTATGCAGACGATGCTTTGATTTTTGCTCTGTTCCAACTGCATCACATCACTTTCCATTTTTAAACAGATGGAAGGTTTAGAAACTTGTTTTGTGTCATTTTGGTTTTGCACTCACTTATTAATCATGCTCAGTTTTGCTTTCACACTTTATGTATGTAATGTGCGTGTTTTATGTATGCGGGACTACGCACGGAAACTAGCTTTTAGCTAATTTTGGTGTATTGACTTCAGTATGTTGGTACGTTAATATGCTCAGTCCCATTCAGGAAAAAAAAAATCCAATTCAGTCATTATTTAGGATGAATTCACCAACAGTTGGGTTTGGTCCCTCCAGCAGGGGCTGTTGATGCACAAAAAATAACGTTTTATAAGGTTTAGTCCAGATTTTTACTAATGTGAAGCAGGATTTTAAAAAAGCTGATAATGCTTTTATTTATATTATTTGAATTTAAGTGTAATACAAGGTCTTTTACTGACCCAAAATTTTGTTTTTAATTTTATTTCCAATTAAATGGGACCACAAAACCTTACTCGCAAAGCTAGGCTAAATGTACTATTTCATTATTTTGCATATTTTGTTATTCTCTTATTTTACTTGCCTTCGTTTTTAAAGAGAAATTTGCAGGTAAAATTTTCTAATTTAATTAATATAAAATGCTGTTCAAAAAATACTACTTGAAAGCTTATCGTGAATATTTCATTTTAAAATACATAACAGCAGAGATTTCTAGTGAAAAGTGGCCTTTCTCAGCAAAGCTTCTAAAAAGACTCTTCTTTCTAAATGTGAACCTCTGACGTAACCAAAGGGAGTTAGAAGCTCGGCGCTGCCTCAACTCAGTGTGGAGAGTAGCTAGTTTTAGGGTAGAGAGGTCATGTTATCCAGTCAGTGTGTGTGTTTACTAGTTTAGGATTGTGTTCATGTTGATAAACTAGAGTGTGTGAAGGCTGTACCAACTCCAGCCTGTCTAGACATCGAACCCACAGTTTTCCAGATAAAGAGAAACAAGCCTCTATCTCCGTGCCTGAGGGCATTTTGTGCAGCTGACAAGATGGATTTCTGTAGCCCACATCGGTCGTTACCGGGACAGGGGGGTCCACGCTGGGCTCCGGAGACCCGTGGAGGGGTTTAAAAATTTTAATTGCGGATTTCTGGAACTCAGACCACAGTCAGAACCAGGTCCGAACTGACCACCAGAAGAGACGTGCGGCTCAGCAGGCCAAAGGAGCTGGGGTCTCATTTACCAAACATTGTGTAGAATCCTTACTAAAACCGTACTTAAGCTCAGCAAAAAAAATGGACTTATGCCAAGTAGGTTTGCGATCTATCAAACATGGAGTACGCACAGCTGCACGCAATCTCCGCTTCATAAATCAGAGACTAACGAGAAAGTTTCTCAGCTGCTTTTTAGTCACATCCCGCCCTCACCACGCCCACTTACTGCCATAAATAGTCAATGCAAAGTGCCTTGTGGACCTCATGCATATACATAAGCCGGCTGTTGCAGCGCTCCGCCAATGACGATGGCGACTGTAGACCCCAAGGCAGATCAAGGAAGCACAATTTCACAGAAGCAGAAATTGAGGTGCTTGTGGGTGAGGTGGAGAAATGAAAGGAAGTACTTTTGAAAAACAAGAGAAAATTCACGGAGTGACACAGCGTTGCTGAAGCCGTCAATGTTGTGAATTCTTCAGAGAGATCTGTGGCGGACATAAATGAAATGGTCCAATCGGGATTCAATCTCCACACTCCCGGGTGAAAGTCACGCACGCTAACCAGTCACCCAAACGAAGATCTCCCTTGTACAAGTAGCCAGGGCGCATGATCAATCTGGTCACAGTGACAGGACACACACTGTCACAGACGCATGACATTCTGTCGCAATCTGTCCCCCTGCTGATATTCTGCATTCCGTATTCTGCGCTTCAGGCTGTGTGTGTGTGTGTGTGTGTGTGTGTGTGTGTGTGTGTGTGTGTGTGTGTGTGTGTGTGTGTGTGTGTGTGTGCACACTCGTGTGTGGGCTTGTTCTGTGTGTGTATGAAGTAGTACAAGTGATAATGCTGCAGGATTTCATAATTGTATCCTTCTCAGCAGCAGCACTGCAGGTGCTCTCCATGTCCAAAATGTGCATAAGCAAGGTCCTTAGTCAACTTAAAGTTGCACACATTTTTATGCTAAGTTTTCTTTCATAAATCCCAAAGTTTGCATGGAAAGTTGCTTACGCAGTTTTCCGACCCCGTTTTGTGCGTAAGCAAGCTTGATAAATGAGGCCCCTGGTGTCTGGGTCGGATCCAGCTCACAGAAGCCTGCATGAGCTCCAGAACCGAACGACAGGCGTCTCTCTCTCTCAGCTCAGCGGGCATGTCGAGCAAGCTTTCTGGGTCGGACTCAGATCAGAACCGCCGCGGGCCTCCAGGAGAGGATCAAACACAGCTTTTAAAAATACAGACTGGCTCGCTGGTGTCTGGGTCGGATCCAGCTGAGCTCACAGAAGCCCACATGAGCTCCAGAACCAGATGACAAGCGTCTCTCTCTAAGCTATAAACTACCTTACGTGAACGGAGCATGAGATAGCTGACAGATGCTCATTAGTTTATTATTGTCAAATATTAATATTATACTAACTGACCAATACTATTTTAATTGTCTGGTACATGATAGTAATCTGTACAATATTGTGATGCTAGGACACGGATTTAAGCTAGCATCATTAACTCACATGACACCTGTTGCACCCTCGCTGCTGCTCCTCACATGGCAGCACAACCTCTCTGCTTTGGCCTGGTTTGTCTCTGCTCTCTGGGGTGTGCAGCAAACTCATAACTTTATGGTTTTGATCATAAGTAGAATTATAAACACTTTAAAAGCTTCCTCTGTGTCAGAGCCGGGCTAACAGGACTCCCTCAGCTGACATCTGATAAGACTCAAATCTAATTCTAAGACAAAAACTGGAAACCAATCGATCCAGCAGATACTTTTTCACCTCAAAGGTTGACTGATACTTTTCCACACAAAGAAAAACTAATTATTTGCTCTCTTGTATGTGTACTATGTATCTAGTGTTTTTTTTTGAGCTGGTAAAAATACAACATAATTTTTTTGCAGTTAATAAATGTTTGCGACCAGCGAGACCTTCACACCTGAACGGATCACCTGTCCCCCACAGAACAACATGGAGATGATTTAACGAGTCCGATGAGTGTTTTGTGATTGTAGAATAAACTTGAGTAACGTGTCACTAATGACGAGATCAAGGGTCTGAGCTTAACCAGCATAGAAAAACCTGACTTAACCAACTGGTTGAGACCCACATTTAAACATTTCAAAGAGAAAAGTTTAGAAGACTCACCTTGGTTGAGTGAAAATTGGTTAAGTTTGAACACACTGTGACAAAAAAATAAACAACAAAATGTGTAAACATCTGGAATGTGACGTACGTTCAAACAGCTGGTTAAAGCCAGTTTTCTTACTCAGATTTCTCCTTTGCAGGTGGATTTCCATCTGCTCTCCTACAGTCAGCGAGGTCACAGGGTCTGGTGAGTATGAGCGCAGCTCGGCTCTCCTTTGGCCCTCCTCAGGGGGGACACAAATTAACCTTGCATAAACATTAGGCCACAATAACAGATAAAAAAGAAAACATCTGCAGCACATTGCTGCAAGCATTAAAGGATCCACCACCTCCCTCACCACTCGGGTCTGGTTGGTGGTCTTTTCCTCATCATCTCTTTGGTCTCGGTGGTTCCACAGAGCTGTCCCTTTACTCCGGCCCCCACCAGTCACTCATACACCCCACCATGCATAGTCATTAAGAACCAGAACCTCATGACGCCCGACAGGATGAGTGTCTTTGGCTACAGTCACACGGCTGGTCCTAAAACTCCATTCCAGGTTCTCCATTCATTCTGATTTTCTTGTGCGGTTGCTTGCACTATAACTGAAATACGACAGCAAACACATAAGGCCTTCCTTTTGTTCCCTCCCTTGAGGGGTGGGGTTAACAGGGGATAAATAGAAGTGGGGAGGGTCTGCTGATCAGGATTCACTCCTGAGGCTGCTTTGGGAAGAGCCTCTGTGACGGTCTCCTCATTTTGATATTCAATATTGAAATTAAACCCCTCTGATTAAATCACGGACTGCTTTCTCATTATTTTATTAAGTCTCTAAAAGAAATTCTGCGGCATATCAATAAAGTCTATTCTATTCTATTCTATGTTAATGAACAGAATTTTGGAAGTTGTGCCTTTTCAGTCCGAATCAACGAGAGAAGGGTGAGACGAGGCCGTGATGAGTTGTGTCTCCATCCTGGACCCGGGTTGTGACCGAGTCATTTAAGTTGTAGAAAGAAAAACAAACACACACTGACACACACACACACACACTCACACCAACCTGCAGGGTTCCAGAAGAACCAGCATTCCTCTTCTGATGGCTACTCTTCACCTCAAGTGACTTGGATCTTCTCACCACTGAACTGGAGGAAGAAGATGGAGCAGCTGTGGAGGATGCTGACCAGACCTCATCAGACTTAATCGCTAGAACAGGAGGAAGAATTTCACCAACAACCTCCACATCTGACTCGGAATCAACGGCTAGAAGGAAAAAGGAAAAGGTTCAGTTTTGGCGACTTGTTTGGAAAAAGTGAGCGGTAGCTACAGAGAGGAAATTACTTATCAGGAACGCACCTGATCAGTATGGCTACATGGAGCTTGGCTTGACTGACCTGCACAGTTAAGGCTTTTTGCTAATGCTACAGAGTGTCTAGATTTCTAGGCTACCTGTCAGGCACACCAGTTGGCCACAATTCACTGTAGCGCTCTGTCAGGAGGCCAACTTACCAGCAAGTACCTCCTTCCTCTCACGATCGGGGACATTTTACAGAGACATCATTGACCAAGTTTTTCCTCTTAAGTCTTGGATATTTTTAAAGTTTGCCATCTGTCTAACCTGTTATTTCAGGCTGTTTCTCCACGCTGCTCAACCCTCTTGGTTTCAGGCTGTCTCTGTTTGATGGATTCTCTTGTAACCTCCGTGGAGACGACGGTTTCTCTCCCCTCCTGTACGAAGATCCTCTGTTGCGGCTCCTTGGACGTGATCGATGTCGAGCAGAACGGCGACGGTCAAGCGATCGAGAGCGAGATCGAGACCTGATAGAAATATTGACCAAATGGACTTATTGTTAACAAATGTACATCTGTTTTAATAACAAAGAAAGCTTTTGGGAATCTGCAAGAACAGAAACAGTTGTACCTTCGGCACCTCAATCTGCGATACCGGCACGGACTGCGGGAACGAGAGCGGCTCTTGCAGCGAGGATACCGACACGTCTTGTCTGAAGTTGTGGCTGCGAGTTTAGCATTTCTACCTGGAAAGCTAGATAGACGAGTAAACCACAACAACAAAACAATTGAACTGCAGGAAACAAATTGGGAGCAGGTGGCTCGACAGTGTTTTGATCTATACCTTGTCACCGGAAGCTCCGTGCGATCCCAACTGGGATATCTGTGGAAGTAAGATCAATGGGAAGAAATGATCTTTTAATCCCCTTCACCCTGTAGTCCCAAATAAAGAAAGGAAATGCTCTTCTACTTCTGAAGAGCTCTTGAACATGGAAACTAAAAAAATGAAACTACCGTTTAAGGAGTTCTTTGCAGCAGTCGTGGTGTTGACGCGTTTTCTGGTGTGAGAGCCAATCCTAGCAGTAAAGCAAGAAGAAGTCAAAACTTTGTTTCTGTTTTCAGCAACACCGTCGGATATTGAAAAGTCAATATTTTATTTATAAATCATACAAACAGCCCCAGTTAACAGACTAAACTTCAGTTTGTGGGGCCTATGCTCTCCCTGCCCTTTGCACACGGTGTTGGTGCCTCGACTGCTGCTGCCGGGGCAGATGGCTCCTGTGATGGCGTTTCCTTGCGCTACCATATCTGGATCATCTGAACTCAGCCCAAAATCAATTTTACTGATGTTCTAAAATGGATGTGTTTTGGGGTGGGGTGGGGGGTGTTATGACTGTGCCAATGACTTTAATTGGTGTGGGAGGGATAGCAAAGGGGGTTATGTAGGGTCATTTTAATCTGTGAAGCACTTTGAGTTGCACTCTTTGTGTGCTTTATAAAGAAAGTTTGATTGATTGACTGATTGAATTTGATCAAACAAACATTGACAGGTAGTATCCAAAAACTGAGTCATGTCAGCTGGACTTCATTGCTTCTGAGTTGGAGCATTTTCAGACTTGTTCCAAATGGCTTCTTCAGTCTGAAAATGTTGTTGTCCACAAATGTATCCTCAAGGAACAAGTGGTGAAGGTTTCAACGCAACAAGAAAAGAGGTCTAACTAATAAATGACCTACACTTGCAGAGCACCTTTGAGTGAGCAGAATCCAAAGGGCTTTACACTCCAGTCATTCATTCACTCACATTGACACGCTGATGGTGATGAGCTACATGTAGCCACAGCTGCCCTGGGGCACACTGACAGAGACAAATCTGTCAAGCGCAGGCACCATCAGTCCCTCCGACCAATACCAGTTAGAGAGGATTGTGAAGTATCTTGCCCAAGGACACAACGACCGTTCAAAATGAGGTTGAACCTGCAACCCACCACTTACAGGGCAAAGTCCTAACCCCTGAGCCACCGTAGCTGCTGACATGGGGTGTTTCTCAATGTCAAAGCACCTGACCCCGCAAGGTGATGTCTTGCGAGGTCAGACGCCTTGCTTACGAGGACAAAGTCCTTCCTTGGTCAAAGAAAATGATTAAATGGAACAGACTTATATCACGTGAGATAACGTTATATTTTATACGAATATGTTTCCTTTTAAATATATAACGAGCCTTTTACTTTTTAAATTGTGTACATATTTGTTAAATTCAATATGAAAGCGAGTTACTACCCGCTAGCCACCGAAGCTGCAACTACTAAGCAACTAACAAACCACAGCATCGTTGCGTCTAAAAAAGCATTCCAGAATCAGCCCGATAGCTATAATTAGTTGACATACATTTAAACTTTAAATTTGCCCCCGAAGTAGCTACCAGCTCCTAATCCACCATCCTTTTGAAAATACTGCGCTGTATTCTGAGAAATTTTAGACCAAGGCTAGGCTACAAGGAACCTTGCTCAGCTAGCTAAAAGGCTAACAAACGGAGAACAGATTACTTAGTAGAACATGAACATTGGAACATGCTTTGGCGGTTTCTGATGACACATCTCCTAGGCAACCGGGGCGGGACCAGGACATCAAGGCAAGGTTCAGTGCTTAGCTGACTATTTTTTTTTCAGGCCTGCTCTCCAACAGTCAACTTGATCCAGAGCCAACCCAACACAGCCACTTCTGACCAATTGTGCTGGGTGAAATTCACACCTACCTACTGGAGGGAGCCTCTTACTGGTGGGCAGAATCAGCCAGCAGCGGCTTCCCCCGGGTGTCTGGATGCAGTGGGTACAGATCTTCTCTGACAGATTGGAACAGCTGCTCCAGCCATGGCAGCGCGAGGACAGTCTGCTGTGAGTGGAGCACACAGCAGTCTCTGGGAGACAGAAGGAAGCCGTGTACTTCATGTCAGAGTATCCAAAAGCATCAGTGCTCAGCTAAGCACACTGAATTGCTTCTGTGTATGAAATGGGCTTTATAAATAAAGCTGCCTTGCTGTGCTCACAGCTGCCTTTTTTACTACTTTGGGTACACCACAGACTTCTCTGCGCATCTTTTGCCTCGCCCACGTGCTCAGAGACATCCGTATTCCTGAGAAGGAATTGAACTACAGACAACCTAGCCACGCGGAGGCCGGCCAACCCAACTAAATTGGCTTTCACACTAGCGCTGGCTCCTGTCCAGCTAGAGATTGTTCACATCTGGATAGCCCAGATTTTTTCTGAGGGTGTTTTTTCAACCCTCTTCCCAAGATGGTCTGCTTTGGGCTGACCTGGTCCAACACACACACACTGCTGACCGATTGGCTGGCTCAAATTCACACCCAGTAGTGGGGGAGCCTCCGACTGGCAGAATCAGGCAGCACGGGCTTTCCGTATGCTAGATTCATTATCGTTCAGGATGCTGAGGAATAACTATCTCCTGACTGAAGCTGTCGCTTTCTTTTTCTCTCTCTGCTGTGAGGTGCGTGCGCGCACACACACACACCTTTGTTTAAGGGAAACATCCCAGACTTCATGTGTATTTGGCCCTGAACACATGGTCTGAGATTTTCACATTTCTGGCGAACAGGGATTTTAAATTGTGTCTGTGTGTTCTGTTTTTGTTCTGCCATCTTTAACTGCAGTGTAATGCAATATTTAAATGGTTTAATTCACCGAGTAGCTACCAATATGCATCAAGGACCAGTGTTGACAAATAGAAGGTGTTAGTGTGATCTGTTTAACTTTGTGAAGGTATGCATCGCTCTGCTTTATGACAGCCTTTTGCCATTGGCCTGTTTTAGTATTCTTCCTGTTTGTTTTCACACATCTGTTCTGGAAGACAAGATGTTTATTTCATTTACGGCAGGCAGCAGCCAATGGCCATCTGAACTTGTAAGTTTATTTCCATACCATTTCTCTCTAACATAAGTAGAAGTGATTTGTGAAAGTAGAGAAGACAAACATTGTACTCTGAGCTGTTTGTATCCAACTCTTCCTGGGCGTGGATTAATTCATAAACTGTATTCTGTTCAATTTTTTAACCATGGCAAGATTATTTTTACACCACAGCTGCGAAAACTCAAATACGCTTTTACATTTTAGTAAAAAGAGACGAGCAGTGACCTCCTCACCTTCATGTGAAAAGTTCTTAGGTGACAAAGAGAACAGGTGTGTGGAAACCTTCTCGGCATGACTCCGGAGTAGTCCTCTACCACGAAGGGTGGTGGCACCTTCGTGCTGGGAGACTGCTGCTGAGCATCAGTGGAGTTTACGGACGAGGTCAGCTGAGCAAGGGCAGGAGAAGCTGAGATGGTGCTTCGGGCCAGATCAGTCTTCGTTGGTTCGGCAGGTTTTACTTGTGGAGGAAGAACTATTATGGATTTTGGCACCTTCAGGTGTTGCTGAGTTTGTGATTTTATCCGCTGAGTGACCTGTAACCCTTTACTATGAATTTCAGTACAACGCTCGTCACTGCTGCTTTTGTGCTCAATCCCAGATGGTCCAGGACCATGGAGAGGAGATGGTTGGGCTTTTGGTGTTTCTGGTAAACCGGTGTTCTTAGAAGCTTCTGATGTGACACCTGTGTCTTGTTCCGGCAGGGAAGGAAAAGTGAGGTGTGTTGGTGAATCCTGGATGGGTTGGATCTGATGTGGCTTTGCTGGATCACAAGCTGGAGGAACCACAAAGCCCTGCAGGTCACATGAAGGACCTGGCCTACTGATTCTCACCTGTATGGTTCCTTCTGATGGGCCTCTACTTAAACTGCTACTCATTGAAGTGCCGAACATTACCACAGTTCTCCTTCCAACCCTGTTATCTTCACCACCAATGTCTCCTTCAGTTTCACCTGCATCTACTGAAGGTCTAATACACACGCCCTCACTTGGCTCAAGACCAGCTGCTGGTATGCCATCCTGGAACGTGTCTGCTCCCACAAAACTACCCAATCTATCCACCACACTGACTCCAGCTGTGGGTGGAGGTTCAGGAGAATTCGGGTCAGACTGAACAGTGGGACATTTTTCTCTCTGGATGCATGCTTGTTGTAAAATGAGAGGAAGACTCTCACCAGTGATCTGATCTTCGTGGTAGGAGAGGAGAGAATCTAGGTCATCTTTTTCAACTCCAAATCGCTGATTGATCTTAGCTGCCAGTTCTGGAGTATACATGGACTGGCTGGGCTCGGGGGACATGGTTCTCAGGTCCGTATTATTTTTAACTTCACTGGAAGGTTCTAACCATCTGTTGTCATGGCTAAGGTGAGTGGAGGATGGACATGACTCAGGAGGATTATCGTTCATAGGTATCTTACAGATCTGCAACCAGTCCAGGGAGCTGTCTCTAGTTGGGGTTGTTTTACAGATCTGCAACCAGTCCAGGGAACTGTCTCTAGTTGGGGTTGTTTTACAGATCTGCAACCAGGCCAAGGAGTTATCACTGTTAAAGGCTCCTTGAGAAGCAGAGGTCACCATTTCAGGCTTTAAGGGGTGAAACCCATCTCGCAGAGTCCTGGTGGAGAGGACACTCTGGTTCACAGGCTTCTTCCCTTCACTAATATTTAAATCTAAAACACTCTCAATGTCATCATCCAAGGTAGCTTCCTTCATCCCAGTCCTGTACCTCAGTGGCGGAGATAAACGAGCAGGTGTCACCTTTCCAGACTCAAGAGAAACAGATGTAGACCCAGAAGATCCTGAGCTGGATCCAGATCCAAGGAGGGGGGATCTCTTCAGAGTGTCCTTCTTCGTCCTTCCACTGGAGAGTCCATACTGACCCTGGGAGAACCTCTGCTTTCCGAGGACAAAAGGCATGGTGTTCATCTGCAGAAGGTCCAACAGACTGAATGCCAATGAGGCTGGAGGTCTGGGTAAAAATCCAAGGAGTGTTTGCTTTAGGAGTGTGGTGGCACCTCCTACAGTGGGAACATTGTTCTTCTGTGCCAAAGGAGCTTCTGACATCAGATAAGCAGCATGTCTGCTGTAAGTGGGAAAGCAAAAGGAAGAAGTTAGCAGGACGGTACTCCTACTTCAACGGGAGGCATCCAGTATGTAAAACGTCCGATCCCCACCACCAAATAAACTAAATGAGTCAGAAACAGAGATGAGTGCTGATTGGACAGATGAGTCATTGAAGACGTTCATAAAATACTTTAAATAAAGCGATGAGAGGATTTAGTGAAGTTTCTTTTTCTGCAAGGGCTCGAGTCAACACAGATACAGACATCAGCAGGGGTTGGGCGGGGAGTCGCTCTGGCATAGTTCCTTTTACACATGGTCACATCTGGGCTCCTGTGAACTTCCTGTAACCTTGTCAGGCAGATATCTAAGTTTCTGGAACATTATTTTGTTATTTTAAAGTCAACAGACACAGAAATGGAAATTAAAGACAAAGGAGGGTGAAGAAAGGAAGGGGGGGGGGGTCCACAAATAAAAGGAATCCAGTTCTGAACCTGCAAAGAGAGAAAAAAAAGACAAAAAAAAATACAGAACCAAGATATCAGAGCAAAAAACAACACATATCACGATGTTTGCTGAAAAGCACATGGTAATAATTGAATCATTGTGCATTTAGTGCCAACCACAGACCCCCCTTGCCCAGTCACTACACCCAGGAGCAGTTCTGTTCATACTGGGGTAACGGTGAGCAGACATCCTCGCCTAATGTAGGCCAGAGTGACCCACCACCTCCAACCAGAAAACCAGCTACCACTCGCGTGTCGCGTGTCTAGACGGTACCGTAGGAGGCGAGCTGCCATGGTTCGACGCATGCTACAGGAGTGAGCTATCTAGGTGTGCACAGCGTCCTCCGGTCCCCTCCTCCTCCCCCTCCTCCCTGTCCGGAACTCGACCTCACCAGTCTGAAGCAGCCATCTTGTCCGTAACAAGTCCGGACCTCTTACTAGGGGTGTCCTCCGGTTAAATTACGGAAAACATTATCCGGATGTTTGTATTTAGACACAAAGGTCTTACGGACAGAGTCCGGAACATTTCCGTTTTTCATGGCCTGTCTGAAGGGGGCTTAAGTCACTAAGCACGGGTGTAGAACGTGTTTAACAGGGCCAGCCCAGTAATGATCTTGGTCCAAGAAGGAGATGTTTTTCCAGACGCCAAGAAAAACTAAATGCCAAATCCCTCCTGCAAAGTGTGTCACTGAGAGTTTAAAACAAAAAATATTCTTGTGCAAATATTGGTGTATTCACCTTTAATACTGGTTATTAAAATGCAGCAGTTGCTGGATTGGTGCAGTTCAAAGTGGAGGGCATCAAATAAAACAATATTAACATAAAGGTGAGACGTGTCATAATTCCCCCCCACCCCACCAGGAAAACTTCCTAGGGGAAACACTGGACAGACTTGGAGATTTTACAAGTCTACGCCCACCTCAGCCATCTAGAAAAGAATAGGTAATGTTCCCTCAGTGGAGACTTTTGGAGCAATAATGTGGGTTATTAAAGACGGAAGCCCAGATGTCTGGGTGTGAAAGGTCAGTTGTAGATAAACAGACACTAGTGTATCTGATCAATAAACCACGTTGAAGCGGTCATGTTTTTATTTATCTGAGTTTTTGATAACTTTCCAGCTCGTCATAATGACGTATGACAGTAGTGATTCATTCAGACATCTATCATTTATTCTCCCCCCCCCCATGATCAGCTCCTGTCACTCAGACTCAGCTGTCTCGGCCCCGCCCCTCTGAAGCAGCTCTCGTGAAGGTGGACTAAAAAAAAAAAAAAAAGAGTCCAAACGAGCAGAGGCGGTTTTACCATTAGGCATAGGTAGCCGGCCGCCTGGGGCCCCTTTGTGTTGGGGGTCCTCCTAGCCCTGACCACCGGCACCCCTCTGTTAATGCCACAATATTCTTATTACCAACCTGTCGCCGCAGACGGGATTGGACATGCTTCTTGTTACCATAATTTCTGAACTGTTCAAGATATCATTAAAATTCCAAAAGTGCTGAAATTAGCTGCACAAATCAGCACAAACAAAGCACTAAAAAAGTAGATGGTCCATTTTGGAGCAGTTTGGAGTAGTTTTGGAGTAGTCCGGGGGGACGGTGACCTCTGAATGACCTATTAAATAAAGTTCAATATCTCAAAAACCATAGCAGCACAAACGTCAATTTTACCTGCACAAATCAGCACAAATGAAGCACTAACCGAGCAGCCTATTTGCCTCCACTTTTGAAGCTGACGTGGGGTCAGCTTCACAGAGCTCAGTGTGAGGTGTGCAGGACTCTGCCTGCAGCTGGAGAGAAACTGCTTCAAGGCCTACTACATCAAACAAAAACGTCTGAAGGTTAACAAAAATAAATGATCTTAAAAACTGCTAAAAAAAGATACCAAGGTTCAAACTTTTTTAAGAATAGATGCATTACAGTTCAAAGTTTAAATTGTTCATTCCAAATTGTTCGCCCAGTCATTTTAAAGTTCATGTTCAGTAATAAATGTAAAATAATTCAAATCCGTTTTTTGCTTTTTCACTTTTAGGCTGATTTTTTAAAAGGCTTTAATAGAAATAAATTCTAAATACAAACCATACACTAATAGCTGAGGTTGTTCTGAAAAAAGAAGAGTTACACACACTTTGTACTAGGGCTGCACAATATATCGAAAAATTATCGTCATCGCGATAACAGGACGTGCGATAGGCCATTCGCAAAACACGGCTAAAACAGCGATAAATGTTTGGTTCAAACATTTCCATCCGTGTCATACATCAGCTTTTTGTAAACCAGCTCAGTTTTTTACGCGGAAGTATTATTTGACCAATCAAATGTAGCCCTTCTGACATGCGGCCAATCAGATGGTTCCGTTCACGTAATACGCCCGCCCCCTACATAGACCCTGTTGGAAAGCAACACCCAAACTGAGTTAGCGGCGCCGTTCCCTTGGTCGTCATGCTGGCTCAGAGCAACGAACGAACTTTGTGCTGACGTTTCTGGATTCAGCTCTACTTTCAAACGTGAACGTGACTCAGCTCGGTGTCGTTAATCATTTTTACCGGGCTGACTCCGACATGTGCCGGTGAACCAACTCACCTTCATGTCGCTAGTATTAGCCCCAGGTGCTGGTTAGCTTCCAGCTAAAAGGCTACAGCACTCTCCTCCCAGTCCCACCCTGCTAAAGAGAGCCTGGAAAAGTTCCCACACACATCAAAGTGGTTTTTCTTCATGAGTTTTTATAACCTTGTTAATCAGGATAGTTGATTTGCTGCTGCACATAAACTGTCAGTCAGAAGCTCTGCTAGCCAGTTTCCTTAGTTCAATTTGTTAGCTTATCAGAATCATGGTTGCAGTTTCATCATCTGAGCTGCTTTTTAAGATCTAGGTAAACTTGTTCAATTTGGCGTTAAAAACAAACGTTTTCACATATTTTCCATGTAGTTTTTTTTTGCCAGTTCCTCTTCTGAAAGGTAGACAATTGTTTTTCTCTTTCCCTCAGAAAATCTTAATATTCTCCTAGTTTGGCCCGGCACAGTTCACTTCCCAATTACAGCAACAGCTGTATATCATAACCACATAAGTGGAGAAAATATTTAGTAGCAATGAGAGAATTTGCTGTTGCATTTAAGCGATGTTAACTATTATTTAACATTTAAACTTATTTTCTGATTTTTTTCATTCAAAAACCCTGGTAAGTGATGTTTTTCTGTATTTGGAGCATCAGAAAAAGTTTTATGGTGGAGGTGATGTTTTAAAGTCACTGAGAAACTGCATGCATGCAGTTTGTTGTTTTGCTGCTAATACAGTAGCAGGTGCAGCTGCATATTTTTGCAATAACAATGTTATGTTGTAATGGAATTCATGCATTAGTTTTTGTTTGCTTTGAACCCAGAGCAGACGTCACACGCCAGAAGACATCAACACTGCATACTTTAGTATTTGTTCATTTATCGCGAGTAATATCGATATCGCAATATTAAGCACTGTTATCGAATATCGCAGGTTTTCCTAATATTGTGCAGCCCTACTTTGTACTTTTTATTACAATTTTACAGCCATAAGATTAAAAATTTACCAGGCGGCCCTGTTATAATTAAGGTCATAAGAGGTTTATTAAGACGGCGATGCACAAACAGGAAGTGACTGGTAGTCATTCCACTCCAATCCAGTTGGTGGCAGTAATGCACCAAATGGTTGTTTGCCAAGTGCCATAAGACCACAAACAAGAAGAAGAAGAGAGGCAGGAGCGTTCGTAACAAACTCAAAGCCATAGTCAAAACATTAAGGATGACATGGAGTTATCCTAGTGGCTCCAATAAGAGAAAGCAGCAGCTTGCTTCATAAAAGCTTTTATTTTCACTTCTGAAAGTGACGTTGTTTCTCGATGTAAACATCAAAAGGAAGCAGAAAGGAAAGACAATGGAAAATGTTTAAAGGGAGGAAAACATAAACCAAAATGGAAAACAGAAAAAAATAACTAAGGCAAAAGCACAGGAGCACTGACAGGAAAAAGAAAGCAGAGCAAATATTGAAAGCGCTCAAAAGGAGGGAAATACAGGAATAAAGAGGAGAACTAATAAAAAGGGAATATAACTCATGTCAGAAGAGGGGAGAGTGTCGCAAATCCAGTTAAAGGTAAGATTGTTGAAAATTTTGTGTAAGGGGCCCCATGTCTGTGTTCGCCTTGGGCCCCCAAATAGCTAAATCCACCTCTGCAAACGAGTATTTTAAAAATGTCAGTGGATGTGTCACGACGCTCGGCGCAAAACTCGCCCCGATCTTGTGGATTCTCGCACGACTGGAAAATCGGCTCCAAAAAGTGAAAAGGTCGCACACCCCGGCTTTACGCAGAGGATGTGCCTGAGAATGTTGGTTATTATTAACCACTTACGTCAGATTACCACAAGAACATCATCCTGTTTAAGTCTACGCTGGTCTCCTCGTGAACTTTGTAGTTTTTACTTAAAAACAACTAACTTACCATCTGTCATGGATGACAAATCACAACTAACATCTTCTCGTGAACTAGAGGAGCGTCTCTAGTTTCTCCAGAGGAGTTATCACATGTCGATGATCACAACACGCTCGACCGACACTTCCACCGTTTGAAGTAAAAAACAAAATAGTAAACAAGCGTGAAAATGTTGCTCTGAACAGTCCGAGATGCGGGTCCGGTTTTTATCCAAGACTTTCTTTAAAAGAAAAAATACTATCTAAAGTTTCGCCTTCGTTCCGAAAACTTTTCTGACCAGCAGCACCACCAGAGTTGCAGCCAAGAGGGAGGGGCTACGCCAGCCATCCTGGACATCTGATTGGTCACTGCTCATGCGCATCCTTACTCTGATTGGTCGCCTGACCTGTTCGTAGTAAGTATGAAACGAAACTTACGTCTCTCCTCCATTGCCGATCTAGGATCAGTTCTGAAATACAGCCAGTGGTACGGATAGATCTTTTAAACTAAATTAGCTGATTTCTAGTCAGTTGTTTAGCTTTTCACGATCTGATAACTTTAAATCATCCAAACAACAGGACATAGTTTTATTATTATTTTTTTTTTTACAAAAACTTTTGTTCTGGTTCTACCCAAAAATGATTGTTACGCGAAAAAAAGAGGTCTACAAATGTACTCCTAACATCCGGACTGGGGATCCAGGTCCGTGGAAGGCTGCTATCCTGTCTTTTCCCTGCTCCACCACACCTGATTGTCCTCAGCAGGTGATTAGCAGGCTTCTGCAGAGCTGGATGAGCTGCTGAACAAGCGATTTAACCACTAAATCATCAGTGTTGGAGCTTAGAAACAACTAAAACATTCCGATACTTGTTCACCCGTCCCACACATCACTGTTACCCAACCCTGGTCCTCAACGACCACTGTCCTGCATGTGTTCCATGTTGCCCTTTCAAACACCTGTGTGTCTCTGCTACCACACACCTGACTTCAATGAATGAGTGATTAACCAGTATCTGCAGCACTTGATGTCCTCCTGAGGAGCCAATGTAAATCAGGTGCTGAAGCAGAGACATGGAAAACATGTAAGACAGTAGTCCCTGAGGACCAGGGTTGGGACACACTGCCATACTTGTTTGATTTGCCAGCAACTGAACTTATTTAGCTTAGATCTGCTTCAACAGTGTGTGTGGGGTAAATATGACTCAATAAAGTCATTAAGTATATTTCAATGTCATATTTCGTTGTTGGTCTTTTCTCTAATATGTTACACACAGTAGATGTAACGTCCAAAAGGGTCAATTTTCACCCATAAATTGATCAACATAATAACCTTTCATCTACAGCATAAATCCACTTTCTATTTGGCCTTCCAGAACCAGAAGGCTCTGTTCAGCGCATGTTGACATTCCATGAAGACAAAAACATTCTCTCCTAAGGTCCTACACTCTCTGCATGAACGCCAGATGTCAACATTCTTCACTCTGAACAAGTGAAGACTCTGTGACTTTTACAACTCAGAAGCTTACAATAATCATGTGTGATTAAATGTTGGAGATAAATATAAGAATATCCCCTATTTACGTTCTTTACCAATGAACCACCTCAGTTCTGTGAAAGAAAGATTCAGACACTGTGTTGCAAATACAGGGTAGCCAACTCAGACCTCGTCTGCAGCAGAACTACAAAGAGGCTGAGCGAGTCACCGTTTATTTATAAAAGAAAGAAAAACAAATAAAGGGGTTTGACAAGTTACAGCTTGACCTGAACAACTTGACAAGAAGGGCATTTGTGTGGGGTGATTGAACGGAGGGATGTGTGTGTGTGTGTGTGTGTGTGTGCGTGCGTGTGTGTGTGTGTGTGTGTGTGTGTGTGTGTGTGTGTGTGTGTGTGTGTGTGTGTGTGCTCTAACCAGTGAGTGATGGGAATAATGCCGTTTAAAATAACGGTGTTCTTTTTTTGGGTAACGGAATAATCTATTTAATTACTTTTCCCACTGTTGCAACGCCGTTACCGTTACTGGGGACGGAAGGTTGTGCGTTACTATGTGCTTGTCGAACATTGAGCAACAGTGTGAGGCTTTCTGACCGCCACACTTCAGCTGCAGCCAGGGAGAGAGAGGTGTCGGTAACACACTTACAAACACGATGATGATTGGCCGCGTGGTCGGAGACCCTCACTGCCTCAGTCGCTGCATGCTGTAGACACAACAGAGCAGTGATGGGAATAACAGCGTTTAAAATAACCGTGTTACTAAAAAAATATTTTTTTCAGTAACGAGCAAACTAATTGATTACGTCTTCTTTTATCAAAACGTCGTTTCTGTTACAGATTAAAAAATGCATGTGTTAAGCAGCGTGGTGTGTTGAAGCTGTCATCAGCTCATCAGGAGTTAAAGAGGCAGATGTTTTCATCCAAGTGCATCACGGCCCGTGAAGACGAGAAAGTCTACGCCCTTCTTAGCGTGACAGCGAGACGTCTTGAAGGTCCGCTCACCTGGTCCCCGTTCAGACGTCTGATCTACCTTCCTAGATCATCCAGCTGTAACCTGTTTCTGATCATGTCTTTAGTCCCGCTGTAACACTGATGCATCAGTCTCAGACGTCATGGAGCTCAGGTGTTATTAGAACTACCTGTGTGTGTTCACCACCCAGCTTCAGCTCTTCTGTGGTTGGGTCTGACCCACATTAGTACATTTAAGTCCTCCATCAGGCTTGTGTCTCTTCTAGTGTCATTTTAAAGGACTTTATTTAGTTATTTAACCATTACTAGATTAGCAGCAACAGAAATGCTACTAAAACACACAATTATGTGAAGCTGGAAAAATTAGAATACTGTGCAAAATTACATTCATTTCTGTAATTTAACTAGACTGAGAGACCATTTAAAGGCTCGTGAACCTTTACAGGTGTTTCTATTTGCAATTTTAAATTATAGCTGATTGGGGTCTTGTTAAATATCACACAGAGACCTTTTAATATCTAGATAAGTGTATTGTTCCGGTTTGTAGCTCCTCTGTTAAGTGCTTATTTATTTAAATTATTCAGGTTTATAAAAAACATTTTGACATGCATTTTATTATGTTCCAGTCATTAGTCATTTATATTTCACTATTGTAGTAATTTATAGTAAATTAAGTAAGTTCAATTAACCCATTTTTATTGCATTCTTTAATGAAAAAAGTAACTAAGTAGTTATTTTTCTTGGTAATTAGTTACTTTTATAATCTCGTGACTCAGTAACTGAGTTACTTTTTTGACAAAGTAATTAGTAACAATAACTAATTACTTTTTAAAAGTAACTTTCCCAACACTGGCTCTAACAAACAGGAGGTCCTCCAGTTTCAGAGAAGGACGGTTGGGATTGGTTCCTGTTGAACATCGGATGAAAGTCAGTGTGTACATTGCATGCAACAGATAAAGTTTACTGAGAGCAAAGTTCCTTCAGCACAAACTTTAGAGGCCTGCATGACTATACAAATAAATCTAAGAGCAGAATAAATTTTTATCCAATATTTCCCCCGTTTTTATCATTATATGATAACAAAACATGCAAGTATATAAAAATGAGTAACAGTATACAAGTGAATAATAAGATCAAAAGATATAAAAAAAGGAATACTAAGCATCATGATGACAGCACTCGCTCTTGCGTTTTCACTGTAAAGTTCACACAGTATCCTGACAAGAGGGTCCAAACAGTTTAAACAGCTTCATCTTGGGTAGATTCATCATACGGGTCATCAAAAATGACTACATCATTATCAGAATCATCATCAAAAACAAACACATTGTGTGCCATCAACAGGGGAAGCATTTGAACATTTACTTCCGTAGAGATGGCAGTAGTGATTAACTTCTGAATCAGTTGCCTAAGGCAGGGAATACAGCAGCATCCACATAAGGTCAGGAGTGCTGCAAAAACAGCTACGAAAATCAGGACAGAGGTCACCAAGGATTTATACTTGCCAAAACCATTGAGAAAATCGTCCCACTTAAAGGTGTCTAAACCCGAATGATCCTTCATCTTGTGGTTAAGTGTTCTGAGCCCATCCAGGACTTTAGACAAACTTCCATCTGCATGTTATTTGGTATTAGAGTACAATATTGCTCGGCAAACATAGAACAAACACCATTTTTCTCTGCCAAGAGCATGTCTAGAGCAATTCTATTCTGGAAGGTCATAAGTGAAGTAGCAGCCAGTTGTTCATGAATAGCATTAAAATCTTCTTCAGTGTAATTTCCCAAACGCTGGACGTTGTAATGGATATAATTAATACGATCAACATTCTTATTGGGTGTGACAGGGAAGAATGCAGAAAGAATAGGAATGTTCTCAAAACCTGCAACTACTTGGTCAGCTAATTTGTATTCATCGGGAACTTCATCTTTCATCTTTGTCTTCCTCCGCTTATCCAGGTCTGGGTCGCGGGGGGCAGCATCCCAACTAGGGAGCTCCAGACCGTCCTCTCCCCGGCCACCTCCACCAGCTCCTCCGGCAGGACCCCAAGGCGTTCCCGGACCAGATTGGAGATGTAACCTCTCCAATGTGTCCTAGGTCGACCCGGGGCCTCCTGCCGGCAGGACATGCCCGAAACACCTCCCTAGGGAGGCGTCCAGGAGGCATCCTAACCAGATGCCCAAACCACCTCAACTGACTCCTTTCGATCTGGAGGAGCAGCGGTTCTACCCCAAGTCCCTCCCAAATGTGCGAGCTCCTCACCCTATCTCTAAGGCTGAGCCCGGCCACCCTACGGAGGAAACTCATTTCGGCCGCTTGTATCCGCGATCTCGTTCTTTCAGTCATTACCCAAATCTCATGACCATAGGTGAGGATTGGAAGTGGATCGACCGGTAAATCGAGAGCCTCGCTTTCTGGCTGAGCTCCCTCTTTACCACGACAAATCGGCTCAGCGTCCGCATCACTGCAGACGCCGAACCAATACGCCTCTCGATCTCCCGATCCCTCCTACCCTCAGTCGTGAACAAGACCTCGAGATACTTAGACTCCTCCACTTGATGTAGGACCTCTCCCCCGACCCGGACTTGGTAAGCCACCCTTTTCCGGTAGAGAACCATGGTCTCAGATTTGGAGGTGCTGATCCTCATCCCAGCCGCTTCACACTCGGCCACGAACCTACCCAGCAAGAGCTGAAGGTCAGAGCTGGATGAAGCTAGGAGGACCACATCAACCGCAAAAAGCAGAGACGAGATTCTCCTGCCACCAAACTCGACACACTCCACACCACGGCTGCGCCTAGAAATTCTGTCCATAAAAGTAATGAACAGAACCGGTGACAAAGGGCAGCCCTGGCAGAGTCCAACCCTCACTGGGAACAGGTCAGA